TTCACATGCACAATTTCGGGGGGGAGGGGGAGGGGTAGACCATAGGGTCTAGAGGAGCAATTGCACCGTCTCAAATTCAGATTTTTACTTATATGAGAAGACAATTTAATATTTTGGTCTTTTTGAAATATTAGTTTTTCTACTTGTGAAATGTTATTGTGCTCTTCGTTACCATACCCCTCCTACGGCGGGTCTATGGGCCCCCCAACCACAAAAAAAGGCTTGTTCTTTTAATTTAAGCTTAATTTAAGCTTGTACTTAAGTTTAAGTAATTAATGCAATATCATAAAATAAATGCACACTACTAAGTATCAATATTATGGAATAATTTAAATTAAATTAAGCTAAAGCCATGTGATTAGTGCACAATGTTCAGCCTCATGTCTTTTTATTTTTAATTTAAAATATAAACAAAATTATCCTATGTCCACCGTCCAAATAATTTGGCAATATGAATGAAATTATAAGAGCATTAAATTAATGACATATCTTAAATAATGAAAAGGTCGGTAATTATTTTAGTAAATAATTTATCTCTAATCAATATTAACCACAAAAACATTAAATAAAATCTGGAGCCGAAGACTTTTTCATAGATTCTGTTGGTATGATATTAAAAAAAAAACAAAATAATTGAAACTGTGGATAAGAATTAGCCATTAATCATGTGTGATTATGAGACAAATCCCTAATAATCTGAGTTAAATTATTGATTAGTGCAAATGGGCAAGTGATTAGGCATCATAGGACATCATTATTATAAGCTTGGAGTGAGCAGAAGAGTTTAGGGGAAAAAAGAAAAAAGGAAGTAAATGTTAAGTTAGATTTTTTTTTAATTTAATTATAAATTAATTACATGATACTAATTATAAGGGAAATTATGGAAAATTCTTAGGATATAATGGTTATAAAGGGGCATAAAAAGATTGTGTCTAATTCTAATTTAATTTCTTAAAACCAATATTTAAATTTCTATTTTAAAAATTGTATCAACTCAAAGAAAAAAATATATATTTTGGCTCAATTTTTCAGTTATAATTAATCTATGTGCATTGTAGAGTATGCTTATGAGTTTTCATTAGTTAGAACTAAGTAAGAAGAAATAATATATATATATATATATATATATATATATATATACTATTGGTAGAGTAGCTTCTTTGAAAGTTGTAAGTCCCCTCATGTCACAGGTTCGCTTCCTCCTTTGGTCAGTTTGTCGGTAGTGAGAGCGGTCCTCGAATGGTTAGACACGTGAGGATAGTTGGGGGCATGTATAATAGCCTCCCACTATTCCTTACAAAAAAAAAATAAATAAGATTGATGCGTGTTACAAAATTCGCGGCGGTAGAGTAACAAATTATCGTCTTAGTGTTATACGAGAATTAAACACACATACAGATGAAACAGAAACATACAATAGTGTCACCAGAGGTTTTCACATGGAAAACACTTAAATGAAAAAATCATGAGGTCTGACCCCTATGTGAAAATCCACTATGAATGATGAATATATATGTCTATCCTTCTCCTAGACTAGAAAATATGGAATTACAAAATTGTATAACTATAATATGACTACGGTTCTTGGTGATAGCATGTTGCAAGGGTCATTGTTGATTATTGTAGAAGTAGTAGTCTGTCGTGAGTGTTATAGATGGTTGCTCCAGAAGCGTTGATTGGCTAGAGAAACTGTAGTAAGCAATTGTTGGGGCTGTTGACTGCATAAGCCGTAGTGGCGAGCATAAATGACGCTCATAGGCCGCAAGAGGGCAGAAGTCGGGAGCTACATAAGTTGATGACCACGTAGGTCATTGTTGACACATGAATCGTAGTGATGAACTCTTGTCCCACATACGAGAAATGATTACTAGAATTTTTAGGTTATAACATTGTCAACTAACGGTGTGTGGTTGGTATTGATTGACGATGGTGGTTAGCGATGGTCGACGACGGTTGGCGGTGGTCGACGGGGGTTGGCAGGGTAGACAACGGTTATTGTAGTCAACGGCGGTCGAGAGTTGATCATAATCAGTGGTTGTCGAGGGAGGTCGGCAGTAGTCGACGACGGTAGGCGGTGGTCGATAACGATCTGCGATGATGCTGAGCTGCAGCTTCTCATCAAAGTCTGATCCTCTCTCTAGGCTTTCGCCCTCTCTCATTTGAGGGGCAGTGGTCTATTTATAGTATTTTGGATCCAATTAATGCACTAATATGAATCATTTTGATCGGGCGGTTCAAAGAGTTTCCTTGAATCATGCGGTGTTTAATGGAAATTTGAGTACCTTAATGATGTTGAAATTGAGTGATATTGGACTCGTTGGATTTGTATTGTGAAGACGCTCGATTTGAATATAGACTTGCTAGTTTCGGCATCTGTTTAACCTTATAAATGTGTCTAAAATCTTTCAAGTGTGGTTTAATGACTTGATCTGGGCTCAATTTGACTCGGATCAGACTAATTTTTATGTCATTAGGTCCATCTCATCGAGTCGGTCAGTTTGATTATAAGTTTGCTGAAATCGGAGCTCTAAATGACTTTTTATCAAGGTTTGAACGTTTCTCATTCAAAATATCATCTCGAGATCCATGTCATACCTCGAGATTTGTGCCTCATGATAAAAATTTGTTTACGGTTTATCAAATATATATATATAGTTGTGGCACCATAAAACATTAGTGAGACTGCCCTAAAATTAGCTATGTTGAAAATAAAAGACCACCTAAATATGTAACAATCATAATATAAATTAATTCGAATCTCTAAATATAATAATAAGTCAAAGAATATAGGAGAGTGAAAGGATGACCTTGAATATATATGGATAATAATTAGTGATTGGTTGCTTGGTTTTATTTTATTAGGTTTTAGGTGAAGGCTTAGCTTATTTTGTTATTAAACATATTGAAGACTTCTCAACAAACTTGAGGATTCCTCATTTGATACAAGGAATAATTGGGGGCTCCATTCTATGATTAGAATAAATAATTTATGATTTATAAAACATGATTAGACTAATCATGTGCATAAATTTATTTATTTATATGAGTTTTACATCATTGACCATTTCATACAATAATGCTTTGGAAAAATGTGAAGAAGATGATTAGTAGTATAAAAAAAATTTAGATGTGATCATGACATTCTTCCAAATTAAGTGATGGAATGCATCAAATAATGAATATGCTAAAGATATGTCTTTTATTTAAAAGCTATAATTAAAATCATTTTGTGAACTATTAGAAATGTATAATATGTAGGGCTGTGAATGAGTTGGGCTTGAGCGAGCTCAAGTTTGACTTGTGTTTGGTCCTTTCAAAACTAACTCTGATTGAAATTGCAGGTGTACAATGTGCATTGTGTTCGATATATATAAGTTTAAATGATAATAATGTTATTTTCAATGTGATATTAAATATTTAAATGTTGTGTGTAAATATAAAATTTTATGTGTGAAATATGTAAATACATAAAATTGTGTGCTATGTATGCTAAATTCCCTTATAAAAAAAAGATGATCCATCTACCACATAACTCTTATATTGTTATATAAATAATATCTAAACTCTTATATTTGAGCGCGCGTGCACACACACACACACACACACACACACACACACACACACACACACACACACACACACACACACACACACACACACACACACACACACACACACACACACACACACACACACACATATTTGTATGTATACATAACAATTATATGTCATGTATGTAAATTTTCTAAAAATTTCATATAAGCCGGTCCAATTTCAAAATTTGGCCCGGTTCAGTTGGTTCATGCGCCGGCCTATGTAGTCCAGCCGGTGAACAACGGCTTCCAGTGAAAATAGACAGTGCATGCCGACGACTTTTCACTTCTAGCTGCTGTCAATGGCCTTCTGCAATCTCATACCTGCAACTACCCTCCTTCGCCTAAAGCTCTCTGCTTTACAGTCAATCTCATTGGAAAAACCTAAACCTAAGTTACCCTCTTACTTTTCTTCTGGAAAATGGCTCCTTCGCTGTTCTTTATCGCCTTCCACGTCTTCCTCTGTGCCGTCATTTTGTTGCAGAGCAAGCATGGCGGAGGCTCCTGCTGAGCTTCTAACGCTTCGAGATATATGTGGAGGAAAAGTGCCGGAACATATTCTGAAGAGGTCTCTCTCTCTCTCTCTCTCTTTATCTGGGCACTATTAAAAGAATTTGAACCTGGAACTATTAAAAGTAGGATTTTTTTTGCTGCTTTTGATGAATTTTTATGATAATAAAACTGTAGATCAACTATAATTTTTCCAAAGATAATGTTCATGTTACTCCCAACACATTTATAGAAGTTTACTTTTCTCACAATGGTTCTACGATAACTTTTACAGACAACTGTAACTGCTCCGAAGAGCCCCGTAGTTGCAATTTTTATGATTTGGGGATTTGAAGTGATTTAGAAAGTTTTGTGATTTAAATTCATTCAGTATATAGATATCATAGATTAACCATTAAGAAGGAAAAAGATAGTATATTTCAGATGATATCTCTAAAAGCTAACCAGATGAGAAGGAAATATAACTGGCTTCATGTCAAAAATACCACCGAGCAAGAGGCTTTTGATCGAAGGATTTAACAAAGGAGGTTTGTAAGTTAAAAGAGGGCGGACGGAATGAGGATGATGAAAGATAGAAGAGAAGAGGGACATGAAGAGGAAGATGATCAAATGCAATCATTCTCAACAGAACTTCTAACATTCTAAATCCTATATTTGAATCAAGATTCGATAGAATCCATCAAATCGTCGATTTATTTTGTGCGTGATTTATGAGTCTTTTATATATCATTGAAAGGGAGTAAGGCATGATTCAATAAAATCACAAAATTTATATGGAGAATTTATAGTAAATATTGAAAATATACATTTAGAGATATACTAAATATTATCATGTCATCAAAATTAACATCCATTGATTTTCTAAAAGCATATGATTCCGTTTGCATAGACCTCCTTTAGTTTTAAACGCAATCTTTCATTCATCACCAAATTAAGTCTAATTAGTGATATTCACACAATTTATCTAGCATATCATCAAGTTGAGGGGTTGATATTCAATATTTTTTGCTATTTTATTAATAGCTTGGTTATCCATATAAATTCCCCACGTGGCATCCTTTTTAGGAGTAAGCTGAGTTAGCACAACATGATGGCTTAAGATTTTCTAAGTTAAACCTTTTCTTTTTTTTCACATGCACAATTTCATAAGCTCAAATGACCTTTTTTGCACGCCGTTTCTAATTATATATATAAAAAAAAAAATTTCCCCTTATTACTTGTCTTGGGTGGAATTCTTTTCAAGTTTTGTCAAAACACATTTGTTTTCATTAAGCACAACATAATAAGTATTTTGTTTAATATAATGTTGTTTGTGTTGGAAGAATGAATTAAGATGGAAATTTTCATGTTTATTCTCATTGACAGCATCACATTAAGAAATAATTTTGCAAAACTTTTTTTTGTTTTGCTTTATTTATTTGTTTAAGAACATGTGGTGATGATGGCTGCTGAGAAATTTGGAAATTTGTTTCTTATATTTTGGTATGGGATTTAGCCAATTTGGTTCTTTATTGATTTCTAGTTTGATTGTTGCAATTACATAGTTGCTCATTCTTTTGGAATTTTTTGTGTATGGGTTATTGCTTTCCTCACATGTAGTATCTATTGTTTAAAACAAAATCACACTACTATTGCAATGCAAAGTGATGAAAACCAACTATATGTCATGTTACAAAAGTGATTTGCAATTGCACTAATTTTGCAAATCAAATTTATGTTATGTTACATATTATAGGGCTGAAGAAATTGGATATGTCATGCCTACTGATGTTCAACGACAATCTTTACCAGTTTTGCTATGTGGACAAGACTGCGTGCTTCATGCTCAAGTCAAGAATTTTATTCATTTCTTTTTGCCTAATTAAAAATAATCACAGCAATAAAACTTCCTTTATAATTTAAATTCAATCTAGCAAAAATTCTATGGTTTTTTTTGGTGGGGAGTGCTCCGCACACTTAGGGGTCATTTGGGATCACTCTTGATTTTTGTATTTTATTTTATTTTGTTTGTATTTTTACTTGAAATAAAATACCTTTGATATGTTATAACATATTTAATTGTTTTTTAAATATTAAAAATAATTTTAGGTGTTTTGAATGCTTTTAAAAACGATTTAATTCGCTTTTGAAAGAAAAAATTAAAGGAAGATTTATATACATACCACTCAATTCCTATGTATTTACATATCTAACTAAACTTCAGTTTTACTTCCATACTACCTTATACTTGAAAAGCTGAATTTCACATCTAAAAGTTAAAATGATGCTATTTTATATGTGATATGAAAGATTTGGACTGTATTAATGTAAAAAAGAAAGTTTAGGTGCTAGATATGTAAATAGATAAGAATCGGGTATTATGAACGTGAATGCCCCTATATAAAAACATGCAAAAAATTGCACTCAACAAACATGTTTTTAAAATCAAAGTAGAAGTAGAAATAAAAAACTAAAAGAAAGTGATTCCAAATAAGCCCTCACTCTAGCAGAATTATTAATAGAAGCTAATTTTTTTGTGCTTTGTATGCCTTTAGACAGGCTCAGGCAAAACACTGGCATACCTTTTGCTGATATATTCTGTTATTAAGTTTCAAAGATCTGCAGTACAGGCTTTGATAGTCGTTCCGACTAGAGAACTTGGAATGCAAGTAAGTCTATTGTTTTTCTGCTTTTATTTTTCTTATTGAGGTTATAATTTACAGTTATTTCATTCATTAAGGTTACGAAGATTGCGAGGGTGCTCGCTGCAAAATCTGTAGAATCTGATAATATACCGAGGAATTATACAGTAATGTCTCTTTTAGATGGTGGGATGTTGAGAAGGCATAAAACTTGGTTGAAGGTATTTAGTATTTTTCTACTGAATTTTGAGAGCTCTCTTTATGTGCAGCTTTTTACCATAAAGTTATTTCATAGATTGGTGTTCTAGTATATTTAATTTATGATTATTATTTGGAAGATCTACATACATACCGCTTAATTCTTATTTATTTACATATTTGACATCTATACTTCAATTTTTTTATATATGCCATCTTACTCATGCATTAAAACTGTGCATTTAACTTTTTAAAGGTTATAATAGTGGTATTTTCTTATGTGATATGAAAGATTTGGTTGGTGTAAATGTAAAAAGTAAATTTTAAGTGTTAGATATGTAAATACATAAGAATGTGGTGGTATGAATGTAAATGCCCCGTATTATTTTCCTCCACAAGCTATTTGCAATCCTTCGTTGGTAAAGTTAGCTTCATCGAAGCTTTGTTTAAAGATAAGGGTTTCACCAAAGTGCTAATATGTTATACACAACTATTAACGTATAAATACATAAATTAGCAATTATAAAATAAAAAGTATGACTTAAAAGTTGATTTAAAACAAAAAAAAGAACTGCACAATACACAAATATTAAGGGTAAATTTGCATATTAAAATTTTGAATAATTTCTAATAGTTTGTTGCAGTAATTAAAATTTTAAAAATTATAAAAAGCCTACAATTTTTTTTTAACGCTTTTAAGTGCGTCTTAGTGAAGTGAAGTGAAGTGAAGCGGGTTTCACGCGCTTCATTTTTCTTATAAAGCACGCTTTTATAGCATTGCTAGATACACACACACGCACACACACACACACACATACATGTATATATGCATGCACACACACACAATGCCCACGACTTGTTTGGGATGAGAGTATGAGCAACCTGAGGAGTTGATGGAAGAATTTCTTTGAATATGCAATGTTTGGTAATTATTTTTGAATATTCCATGTCAATGGAGTTGAGTTCCTCAACTAAAATGTCCTGAGATTTGAATGATTATGAGAGGTTTTGTTGTAATTTGATAAATAAATATTTTCATTTGAATCTCAATAATTAAGATGTCAATTTATTTGACGATAAACATTTTGGTAAAATTATTTAATAAGGTAAGAAAAATTTAGTATTGTTCTAATTGTAGGAGAATCAACTTATGAGTTAGACTATGAATTTGTGAGAGTAATGGAACTTTTGCTTAGGAAAATCATGTGGGTGACGAGAATCAATTTTGAATTGTCATAAACATCCACTATGGAGGTGATTTTTACACTATTGCCAATTAATGGAAAGATTTAGATTATTAAAAAGGATTTTTATGTTTTTTTTATTGATATTGTTGATATTAAGATGTATTATGATTGAGTACTATTAGGATGTAGTTGGCTAAGGGTAAGAAAAAACATGATAAAATTATGTTAAAGTTATTAAAAATATGCATAATACATGTTAGCTATCATTAAAAATGGTTTAGTGATAAAATTCTCCCTATCACATTGGTTTTATATTAAGAATTAGCATTAATTTCACATCTTTTTTTCTTGCAGGTTATGTTTAATCTTACAAAGGATATTCAAAAAGTTATCATTCACAATATGATTTTGTCGAGGATTAGCTTTTAATTTTATATCACATTGGCTATGGAGATGTTTACGAAGAACATTGAAAGTGAAGTCCGGTGAATAGTTTGAAGAATGGTAAAACTATTTAAAAGTTAATTGGCTTAGGATTTGTCGAACAAAAGTTAAGGATATGACATGCAATTTTAGTGTCTGTCAAATAGATACTTTCGAGTTATTATTACTATAAGATTAAGCAGTACTTATGCAATATATATTTGAGTCTTGGAGGATTTACAGACATGTCACACAATTCCTATGTATTTACATATCTAACACCTTGACTTCGATATTTTCATTAATACCATTTTACTAATGCATGAAAAGGTTTATTTTCATTTCAAGAGAAAAGGTTTAGTTCACTTTCTAAAAGTTAATGATGGCAGTATTTTTTATCTAGTATGAAAAAATTGAGTGTTATAAAATCATTGTTTAGATGTTAGATATGTAACTTCATAAGAATTGTGTCATATTTATTTCAATGCCCCTTAAGTTTTTTAAATGTCTTATATAAAAAAAATAGGAGTATATAATTTCTAGAATTAATTCTAGGTGATTGAAAATGGAAAAGTGCCTAAAACAGTGATTATTAGGCAAATTTCACAGAACTAAAATTAGATGATCTATGCTATATGGATCCGATTGTTGGTGATAGAAGTTGCTGACAACCAAGTTGCATTGCAGATGTGATAATGTTGAGTTTGATATGTAGCAATATAAAGTAGATTGAGAAATGTTGCATGGGAGTTCTTGTGCTATAAAGTGAAGTTAAAGTGAGTTAGCTCAACACGCACGTGTATTTGTTTGTGTGTATTTGTATAAATATACATTTACATTTGTGTTTATACATACTTTGAGTTAAATCAAACTTATTTAAAATGAGTTGTCATTGAAGCAAGGTAAACCTATTAAAATTCAAGAAATTATCGACCTTGAGTTTCAAGCATAATTATGAGCCTTAGATGAGAGGGACTATAGATATTATTAAAGATAAGGATGATGGAAAACATATACTTTTTAAGGGTAGAATGTCCACGATAAGATAGTAGATGCAATTAATATGGGAACATTATCATGGATAGAAGTTGTGCAAAAGTATTTTTTTTTTCATTTCCATAAACCAATTGCTGACGGTGCAAATTTTGTTTTTCACTATCTCGTTGATTCAAATTTTTGAGACCTCTGTTTTTTTAGATTATTTTGCAAAGAAAAATAGTAGTTTGGGGTTGATGATTCATTTCATGTATTGTAGCAACTATGTATAGATTTTTTCCATTATTTTTGCAGGCTGAACCTCCAGATATAGTGGTTGCAACTATAGGCAGCTTGATTCAAATGCTTGAAAGAAATGTTTTCAAACTTGAAGCTGTGAGAGTTCTTGTAGTTGATGAGGTAATTACATAAATTAGTCATTCACCACCCCCCATCCCCTCTCTCTTTCTCTGTTTCCCTCTCTCTTCCTTTTCTGAGATTGTGGACTTTATACAATATTAATTGTTTATGAGATTGTCCGTTTTGAGTGAAGATTGCATCTAGGACAATGAAGAGCTAGTACTATCTATTCATCAAAATTATAATTTCAACTATATGCAATAAGAAGCTAAAACTTCAAATAAAGTATTAAAAAATTGGGCTTTCAGATACATACCACTCAATTCATTTGCACATCTAACACCTAAACTTTACCTTTTTACATTTATATCACCTAAATCTTTCATGTCACATAAAAAATACCACTATTTTAATTTTTAACTTTTTAAAAACTGATACATATTTTCATGCATCTGTGAATATACATTTTTCATGCATATATATATATATATATATAAATTGAAGTTTAGGTTTTAGATATATAAATATATAAAAATCGAGTGGTATGTAAGTGAACCTTCCTTAAAATCGTTAAAGGACAACATTGAGTTTCTGTGGTTGTCAGCATTGATGATCCTCACTTAATCCAAAGAAAAAGATAGAATGAACATGCCAATATAAACAAACAGAATGAGAAAAGAAATCAAAGTGGAAATTGGAAATCCATGTAGTAGACCAAATCTATGTAGGAAATGATCTTCTTGGTCATTTGTTTACTATACTCCCACTATAGTCAAATTTACTGAGGTAATTTGTTGAAATTATTCACTTGGTTGATTCAGCCAGCTACCATTGCTTTATTTATTCATTTATTTATTAAGATGGCAAGTGATAAATTGTAAGGTACATGACTTAAACTCGTAATCTTAGAAAAACAATTTTCTCCTCGTAACTATTGGGCCAAATTTTTTTTTTACAATCATCACTTTACTTGGCTTAGTTGTTTGATATGAATTTATCTTCGGTATTATTCCTCAACTTTATGTATATTTGCATGCGTGCTTTTATCTGTCAACTATTTTTTTAGCATGAAGACTTCTATTGTTTGTATATCTTATTTTGTTGATTTGTTTATGGAGAGAAATGTCAAAATGGTTATCTGACTCTTTATAGGTTGTCTATTTTACTCTCATAGTCCATAAAAGTGTCAATTTAATCCACAAACTCTTTTAACAGTTGCTAAAATAGTCCTTTCAGGGGACTATTTCTACTCATATTAAAAGAGTCTAGGGACTACTTTGAGATTTTTATAAACTGTGACTAAAATGGCGCCGTGTATTGCAATTGTATGCATTTTAAAATACAGTTCCTTGTTTATAAAGGTCGATTTTATGTTCAATTCATCAAAGCAAGTGTACTCTCTTCGAAAACTATTAACAACTCACTCTTCAATCGAAAGGCGCCAAACAGTTTTTGCTAGTGCCTCTATTCCCCAACACAATCGGTTTATTTACGATTGTGTCCAGCATAAGTGGACCAAGGTTTGTGATTTTGTATTTTTTTGCATCAACATTTACTTTATTTCTTTTAAAGTTATTTCAATAGAGAATTCCAAGAAACGATTTATTAGCTTTCGGTAGAAATATTATGTCATAATTCTCATGAACTTAATCTCATATTTTCTTCATTGATACAGAATGATGTTGTCCACATCCATGTAAACCCTATTGAACCGATGCCTTCCCATTTGCACCATAGATTTGTGGTAAGAGTTTTAATTATACATTTTTCTGAAGAATATTTCTTTCAAAGTTGTTTGCTTTTATGAAGTATTTAATTGGACAAATACCTGATGCTTTATTTTCCTTTTTAACCATTCATTAATGACAGTGTTTTGTTTGGTTGAATCATATGAAATTTAATGAAAATGTTGGAATTTTCTTTGACATTGATGTGTATTTTCTTCTTCAAATGTTACAATGAAATTTTCTGGCTGAAAAGAAATTGTTAAGAGCCTGGTTCCATCACTTTTCTTTTATTTTTTAAAACAATTCAACTTGTTTTTAAAAATACTCAAAACACCTAAAAAATATTTTGAGTGTTTTTAAAAATAACTATATCAATATTTTAATTTAAATTAAAATATAAACAAAACAAATTTAAAATAAAAAATGAAAAAAGAGCCCAAACGGCCCCTATATATATATAAAACCTTGGGAAGTTCGAGCACACAATGATTTCATATAAGCCTAGTAACACTTAAGGACGGATAAGTTTATTGAATGAAAACTTGGTGGTTTGAGCATGCCAGATAGAATTTATTTATGATGAAATTAGTGAGATGGAAAAAGTGTGAAGAAATAAGGATGTTAAGCCAGATGAAATTATTTTCCTCAACTTATATAAGAAATTATTTTCTTAACTCGAACCCTTGGCTTCCATGGTGCACTATGCTCGCCATCGAAAAGTCACACAAAAATTTAAGCACTTTAGATTTAACACCGCATGTAATGCTAGATGGAAGAATTCCCAAAAACAAACTCACCTAGCGAAATAAAGCTAATGATGAAAATACTACAACAAGAAATCTTCATCCCACTAAGTGGGGTCGGCTACATGAATCCTTTTTCTCCATTGTGTCCTATTGAGTGTTATATTCATTCAATTCTAGTAAATTAAGATTATTTTTCATACAAAATGCCAAGTTTTTTAGGTCTACCTCTACCTTTCTTAACATAAGTCGAATTTAAAATATCTATTCTCCTAACCGGATCATCAGATGGTTGATGTTATCAATAATTATCAATAAGAATAATAACACTATCATAATTCATAATGAGGCTCAGTTGTCCCTTTTTTCTTGCAGATTTGTGGTAAAAAGGAAAGATTGAGTGTTCTACTACACCTCCTTCTGAAGGATGCCCCAAGGTCTGGCATTATTTTTGTTTCAGAGCAGGTTTGTTTCTTTTAAATCCTTATATTCCATTTTTGTTATGTTATAATTATGTTTTTTAGTTAAATGCACCAACTTATTGCTATATTTTCAAATGATGCCTTCTTCGCTTATGAAATTTTGATAAACATCAGAATTTATAATTTTATAGGAATTTTATGGAGCAATGTTTAAATTCTCAGTTTCATTTTCAGAGCTCTATGATAAGTTTTGTTTTCATGTTCAGCTCTAGTGTGAATTTTTTTCTTATTTTTAAAGAATTTTTAAAGCTTTGTAATTAATATAAAGACCACATTTTTTGCTAATGTCTAGGGAAAAAAAAGTGAAAATCATTATTATCACAACTTATTGCTATCTTTTTTCTATTTTTTACACATTTTCTGATGCTAGAAGTATGAAACCACACAGAAACTGATTTTCTTTCATTTCTTCAGTCAGAGAAATCTAAAAAGGCTGGTAAACCTCCTTCTGCAACTCTTCTTGTTGATTTTCTAAAGGCTTCTTATGATGGAGATCTTGATACTATTTTATTTGAAGAAGACATGAATTTCAATGCCAGAGCAACCTTGCTCTCTGTAAGTGATCATTATGTTCAATATCACCATCCATAACTTTTATAAAAAAAAATTATTTGGTAAATTCCTTTGCTGAATGAGTTCTTTAAAAATATTCCTTTTTGCACTTGTTTGTATTAGAAAATTTGTTTCTAATTGTATAGTTTACATGCATGTTTAAAAAATTGGGGCATTTACATACATAACACTCAGTTCTTATGTATTTGCATATTTCAACACCTGAACTTTACCTTTTTACATTAATACCGCTTAAATTTTTTTATATCACATCAAAAATACGACAATTTTAATTTTTAAAAAGTAGATACTTCTTTCATGCATAACTAAGGTTATATATATATATATATATATATATATATATGGTAATAAGCTTTAATGCTTAACTTACTTTTTGTAGTAAGATAACAATATGTTGTTATATATATATATGTAAAAATTGAAGTTCAAATATTAGATTTGTAAATACATAGGAATTAAGTGTATGTTTATGCATTTTCAACAAACAAAAACATTTTAATCTTCCAAAAGATTGGCTACTATATGCTTGGTTCCCTCCCATAATATGTGCTAAAAAATTCAATCGTATCCACAAAATTTTGCAAAATAAGTTGATAAACAACATAATTTTTGAATTTTATGTCGAGAATTCAATGAGTCCTAATGCAAGATAGTAAGTGAAAATTACAATCAAGTTTTTGCAATATTGATCACGTTTCGCATAGTCTCAAGAACACATAATTTACATTCCTCAAGTTACAATCCACCTACATGTAATGGCTACGTGTAAGAGGTTCGTAACTCAACGGACGTAAGTGAAATATATAATAGTCATTTGCTCGCCGAGGAAGGATAAAAAAACATCACATTTCATTCGTTATATTCTACACTAGTTGTGTTAGATTCATTCTTAGCAAGTCATTTGAATCGCTTTGATTAATGGCATCGAGTAGCGATCAAAAGCATCATTTTATCATGAATATATGGAGTTGAAGTTATTAATTTTCGTCTTTCATTTGTTAGATGTAGTCGAAGTACTAAACTTATTCTTCATAACTCATTTTGAATGCTTGACATTTTATCATCCATGCATAGGATATCAGGCAAAGAGGTTTCCTTCTAGTGGCGACTGATTTGGCGAGCAGAGGCTTTGACCTTCCTCAAATAACACACATATATAACTTCGACCTCCCGAGAACTGCGGTTGACTATCTCCATAGATCTGGGAGGACTGCGAGGTTGCCGTTCTCCACCGACCGGTGTTTTGTGACGAGTTTTATCACATCTGAGGAACAATTTGTGCTTCAGAGATTTCAGAATGAGTTATTGTTTCAGTGTGAAGAGCTTGTTTTGGATTCTTTTGCTCTGTAGACGAAGGGTGTATTGCTATTGTATGGTTACTTCTAATGTGATATTCATCAGTAAGTCAACCTCATTGACTTTAGTTGAAGATAGATTTTCTTAATAGAATTTTAGAATTTTTATAATTTATTATTATTATTATTGTATGTGCATCATAACATATATGTAAAAAAAAAAAAAAGGTTAGGGGTTAGATATGTAAATACACAGGAATTGCCGGGTATGTACGTAAATTTTCCTTTTTATGTTTTTATCAAAGCCATTAACCATTAATGCTGATTAGTTCTAAGTAAGACTTATTTAAAATTGACTATTATTTGCATTCAATCAGTTTTTGACTAATTATAAATGTATATTTAAATGAGTTAAAAATTAAGATAATATACAATTAATATTTAGGAACTATCACATTGCATCATATAAATTTCTAAAATTTAATTTTGCAGTGGTTTGCTATATAATTTATAAATTAAAGGCAAGTGGAGCTCAGGGTGGTCAAAATACTATATAATTATGTCTACTATTAAAGTTTTATTTTTAAAATTACATACATGCCCAATTTTTAGGTATTTGTTAATATGTCTGACACCTAATTTGATATGCATATTTCATGTGTCTTTAATAAATGTTTATCATTTAGCATAATTCACGATGCAATTTTGAATAATAAACATACCGAATTTAAATTCATGATCATCAAGGCCTCGATAAATTTATGTTCAAACTGGTCGTATCGACAAGACAAACACACATACCAAAATTAGTTTGATCCAAACTCAATAAAGGCCGAATCAAACCATAGATGAACAATTAGAGGTTTTCAATCGTCAATGGAATGGTCAAATATAATAGTCAAATTGAACGTCTCGACCAGAAGAGTCCAACAAGCCTATGTTTTCGGAATTCTAAGATCTTTAAGGCACGAAAGTCATTTAAAAAAATCTTTTATGATCGAAAGGATTCAATATAGACAGTCTGATCAAATGGTTGGAAACGTTAGTCGCCAAAAGATCAAAATGTTAATCTCCCAGAGCTGATAAATGGACAATTTCTTTCCACCCAAAAAAAGGAAAGAGAAGAAGAGGAATTCAAGGGTCTGCTCTGAAGAGAAGGCTCGCCGATAACTTTCGGGTCTTGTAGTCGTCGATCACTGTTAACCGCCACTAGCAGTCACCATATATTACAGCCAACCACCGACCACTATTTATTATCATGATGACAGTTATAACACCTGTGTTTTCATTTAAGACGCATACTGACAAGTGTTTATTTTGGTGTAACATAGTAATCTTATTCGACGAGTTGTAAGAAAATGGTGTACCCTTATACTTAAACACTTATAGTGGACTATTCTGACTGAGAAAAACCCCATGATTTTTTTCCATTTCAAGGTTTTCAACGCAAATAAATTGTTCTCTTCTATTTTTTTTTTTATTATTTGTGTGTATGTGATCTCCGTGCTACACTTAGACGTTAAACCATCACTCTTTTCGCCGCAAATTTTCAAGCACGTTTTTTATTTTTAAAAATTAATAAGAGTGATATTTTTTATGTCATATTAAATATTTGAATATTATACATAAAAAATATGAAAGTTTAGGTGGTTGATATGCAAATACATAAAAATTGTGTCATACGCACGTAAATGCCTTTTCTAATGACTATGACCGGTCTAGGACTTTGTCATGTGTAAGAAAAATGGACATGATTTTGATTTGTGTAATTTACATACATACCTCACAATTCTTAGGTATTTGCATATTTAACACTTTATACTTTTGTGCTTTCATATTATTATTATATATAAATAACAATACTTTAAACATTTACATTGAAAATATGGTTTAAGAAATATAGTTTTATTAAGTCAAAAGAAATTTTGATGGCCTATCATTAAAGGCAAAATTAAAATATTGATCTCGAAGTATGATCTCGAAATTTTGAAGCCATTCCATCATTTAAGACACTGGTCTCGAAGTATGACACGAATCTCTAGATAATATTTTAAGCAAAGAACATTCAAACTTCCATTAAAAATCATTCAAGAACCTGATTTCAAAAAAAACTTTCTTTTGATTTAAGAAACCGACCAACTCGATGAGACAAACACAACAACACCAAAGATGATCCTCCAATATGAGTCAAATCAAGCCCAAATTGAGCAATGTCATTTTTGGAAGCTCCAAGTGCCCTATTGAAAATTCAAATAGATTTCAAATCTAACAAGCTTATTGTCGAATTGAGCATCTCGACGAGACAAATCCAACGAGTCTAAGCTCACTCAATTACAAAATCATCAATGCATTCAAATGTCGACAAAAATCGATATTATTGGTGTAACAGCATGAGCTCTCAGCTATCAAGATATTGTACATCGTGGCCGAATGGCTTCATGGTTATGTCCCACTACTGTAACTTCCCAGGAGGTCACCCTTCTTAAGACCGCATCCACATGAGCAAGCTTAACTATCGAAACTCCAACCGACGCCTTGATGTTTGAGAGTTCGGCTTCATTCTACGTAAGAAGTTTCACAACTGGTCCTCAAAATAATTTGTGGAAAATTGTTGGCGCAATTTATTCATATTTTGAGATCCAAAATTTACATAGCTCCATTCGATGTGAAGTTTACAACCCCTTCATCACCACTTATCCATTATATTTTTATAAAAACCAACACTGAAACACAACAAAAAGAAGCCATAATTCTAAGCTGGTGAGTTCAGCTGATCATCAGTACTGCGACTACTATGCTGACTCTTCTCACTATATCTCCTCTTAATTGCATTCTTCACCTCCTCCTCCTTCCTATCAACAAAATTCAACAGACCTTTCAAGCTTCCCAGACGGACTGGGCGCTTCAGACTAGGCTCAGCCGGACTCAGTTCCGATACATTGGACTCAGTCACCTCAGGAGAGATGAATTTCTTGTACTGACAGATGATTCTCATGAAGAAGATGAAGAGGGCGATTGCGCAGGAAGCGCCACAGATGAGGAAGAGGCCCCAGAAGCTCTGGAGGCTCAGCTGGTTCGACGCGATGCTGGAGTCCGGCGAGTCGCAGCCGGTTCGAGTCAGCCACTTGTCGTGGATTCTTTGGAGATCGCCGTTTTCCGATAGGCCAAGGATGGCTGTTGAGAGGTCCACTGCAAGAGGTGAGTCTCTTTGAAATGCCTGTCAGTGAAGTTTCAGTCAGCCAAAGCAGAGATTAGAATCGAAATGTTTGAAGAAATCAAAGAAAATATTTGTTTTTAGACAGACTTACATGCATGCCACACAATTCTAATTTATTCACAAATCTAACATGCAAAGTTTGATATTTACACTCACAACACATTGGTGTTATAAATCTATGCATGAAAAGATATATATGTCACTTTTAAGAAGATGATAATTGTGATATTTTTGATGTGATGTTAAAGATTTGAGTTGTATGAATGTAAATGTTTTATGTTTAGGTGTTAGATATGTAAATACATAAGACTTGTGTGGTGTGCATGTAAATGCCCATTGTTTTTTAAATCATCATAGACCAACTTCAAAGTCATCTAATACTCAAACACGCGGTTATTGGTTGGAAACAAAGTTAAGAATTCCAAGAATATGAATCGGATTCATCTAATGATCAAACATACAATTCGTTGGTTGGAAATAAAATGTAGAATTTCAAGATTATGAATCAATTTAAGAGTTGTCTAAGGATAAAACACACAACATGTTGGTCGGAAATAAAGTGAAGAATTCCGAGAAGCCAGGTGATGCAGAGCCAAGCACTCACCCTGCCCAAGAGAAAATTTAGTCATTTATGGGAGATATAGAACATAGAATACCACCCATCGTAATAATATTCATGTTATTATTACAATAACATGAATAATATTCATGTTATTATTCAGAGAGAGGGATGGAGAGAGAGAGAGAGAGAGCATACAAATCCCCATCCACTTTTTGTGAACTCTTGACCAACAGTCTTGTACCTGCAATAGGCTGACAAGAAGAGCTCGACATAAGGGAGCTCATCTACAATGGCAGCAACACCACCATTATTTGGCCCCAAATCAAGAGCATTTGCATAATCGTCTGGTTGTTTCAGGGTTTTTAACCTTGACTCAGCCACGCCAAACTCCTGTATAAGATAACTTTTCGCAAAAGATCCGACTTGGATGCCAATTGGATCAGAGCTTGATATCAGTTTATCAAGCCCATCGACCCTTGTTGAAAGCTGTTGGACGGTGAGGATCGATGTGAGACTCGCAGTGTAGCTCGAATTGATTATCAGCACCACAAAAAGCCATATGATTAGCACGAATCTTCCAAGAGTGCTAACCGTATTTTCTCCTGGTATCGGATGTAAGTATTGTTAGAAGAATTCAGACAAGAACAACGAAAAGACGATAACCATATTTGAAATTTTGTTTGACAAAAAAGCAAAGGGGTTGGAGATGTTTACTTACTGTGAGCAAAAAACATTGTTGAGAAGCTAAACCTGCAAAATTACAACAAGAGGGTCATTTTTGCAAGAACATAAGCTTATGAAGAGTGAGAGTTTGATCTATAATAATCATTGTATGTTTGAAGGAGAAAATGCATGCTACAAAGGAGCTTAGGTATCAATGCTAGTTTTGAAACCACTATTACTAACTTTTTAAAAGTGAAATACAACTTTTCATGCATGGGTTTATGACGCCAAAGTGACTTTAACATGAATATCAAATTTTAGGTGTTAGACATATAAATACATAACATTTGTGCGGTATATATGTAAATTTCCCTATATATATATATATATGTGTGTATAAGGAGAAAGAGAGATAGAAAGAGAGAAATTTTTGTTATGCAAATGATACTAACCAGCATATTGTCACGAGCTGCCGCCTCGGAGATCCACGAAAATCGGTGTTTAATCGATGTTCTAGTATCCAAACAACTACACCAACTAAAAGAAAGAAAGATCCTGTAACACACCACATCCATAGGCTGAAAGGCTTGAGAAAAGCCCAAGGAGGCGAGCTTCTCTCTTTGACCAGAGCAACTATCACAAGTCCTGATTCAATGTATGGCTGTGTAAAATCCACAATCCTTGTTCTGTTTGTTACTATTGCAATGTCCCCAACAGCCGCATCAAAGTACTAAAAAACAAAAATATTGTAAATCACACATTCAACTATGACTAAGTTGTTGTTTGGTATGAGAAAAGTGTCAAAATGATTACTTAACTCTTTGCAGAAGGTCATTTTAGTCTCACAGTTTATAAAGGTGTCAAATAAGCCCCCAGACTTTTTAATATAGCTTGAAATGGTACTCAAGGAGGACTGTTTTAGCACTCGTTAAAATAGTCTGGGGATTAATTTGACACTTTATAAACTTTGGGACTAAAATGACACTATGTCAATAGTCGGGGTAATTTTAACACTTTACCATGCAGGATTTTGGCAAAACCATACCAAATGATATTTTAAGGTGTTATCAGACTTTGCATTTAATAATTCAAGATTTGGATTGAACTACTAATTCTGCTAATAATGGGATTAAAGGAATTAAAGCTGTAGTATTTAAAAATTCAGTAAGTATTCTTAAACTAGCAATATTCTTCTTAAATAGACTCTTCAAACCTAAGATGAAGCACATAAAAAAAATGATATAAAAATATGTTGCATTTGGGCGAATAAATAAGACAGCAAATTAAATCAGTCATAGAACATGCAAATTCAAAAAAACTTGATTTAAAGAAATACATACATTATCGGCAACCTTCTGCACAAGTTCATTATAGCTGGGATTTTCAGATCCATCTCCAAAAAGAAAAAACTGCAAAGGAACCGGATAAGGTAATAAGCTTATTGCAGCTTTAAACACATCAATAGCATAACCCCCAACACCATCCGGGCTATTATCTTTCGTCACAAATTCCTTAAAACTCGTTCGATAAGGAACCCCGATCCGTAGATTCTTTCCATTGTTAGGAAAAACCCATCCACGTGGCTTCGTTGTGCTCTCTCCAGGCCAAACGACACCATAAAGTTGGAGGCTACTGGCGGAAATGTTAAGAGGCTTTCCATACAGTGTTTCAGGTGCAACAATCGATAAGCTCGAATAATTCGACCAAAAACCAACCCTCCGCAAACCCGTCCCGGCGACATTAAGAATATCGTATGCCGGATGGATCAAATTCCCATCTGAATTGAACTGAATTTGACCAATTAGACCTGTAAAGCTTGCAAGTTTCAATTTTTTTAGTAGATTGCTTCCTCCATCGAAGGACTGAAGTGCAGATAAATGCAACGAGCTTCCGTTTGCATCGTTCAATCTAGGATCTTTAGAAAATGAAACAGCTCCCCCCTCATGTAGAAACTGGTCAACAGCATGGGCAACAAGCCATACAGTATCATATGCATATAACCCATACATGTTTAAACTTGAACTTAGATCTCCATTCTGAATTAATTTATTCCATCTAGATATAAATTTTTGTTTGACATTTGAATCCGGCGCATGAGAGCGGAGAATGATGGCCCCTTGTATTAGACTCATTGTGTCAGAATCAGGACTTACTGATGAGTCCAAGACTGAAGAGAGGCAATCTGTGGCTATCCACACATATCCAACATTAATCATTCCAAGCTTTTTTGCAAGTGAAAAAACCAACAAGCCTGTATCAGGATTTGCATGAACTACGAAAATTCGAGATTCCATCAAGTTTACTTTAACCAGCTGATCATTTATTTCATTGCTATCAGCATTAGGAGTTAATGCTGCTTTATAAGAGATCTTAGCAAGTTTAGAAGAAAGCGCATCGCCAAGTGCTGAAACACCTCCCCTTCCATAATCGTCGTCTTCGAAGATGGCGATGACCTCTCTCCATCCATAATATTCGATAATATCGGCCACAGCGTTCATCTGAAAATAGTCGCTTTGGGTTGTGCGAAGGAAGTATGGATACTGCAAGGAATCCAGCGCTGGGTCCGTGGCGGCGAATGAAAGAAGAGGGATGTGGAGTTCGTTAACGACGTGGGAGATGACATGAGCAATCCCAGAGGACTGTGGACCAATTATAGCAACTACATCATTCACCATTAGCTTCAAGGCTGCAAAAATAGATTAGAATAAAACTTATCAAAGGCTTGTAATCTCAAAGATATTAGGAAAAAAATGTAGAATATGGGCAAGAGTCTTCCATTTTATGGATTGGCATTGGTAACATCTATAGGCTTTACAGAAATTAGGATTATTTTCTGTAATTTTAACACACAAATATGTGCAAAACAAACTTTAAAATCAAAGAGAGATCGCAAGCGTCAATCATTACCCATCATTAACTTTGTTATCTTGCTATTTGGGATTGACTTTATGAACCCTCATTTTAATTGAATTCCAATGAGAGTTGCACGAGGTGTTAACCTTATTCATTACATACTAATTTTCCTTTCTAATCCCTCATCCATAATCTTTTGTACATGTTTAATAAATGCATTTTCGACCCATCATTTTACATGTCCAAATAGCCTAAATCTATCTTTCATTACCTTATCTTCAACACGATATTGCTTTCCTATCCCTCTAATATAACCATTCCTCAATTTATCTTCTCTAATTTAACTACACACCTATCTTGACATCCCATCTCTATCATGCTTGGCTATCAACTTGGCTCTCCAAAATAAACTGCCTAAAGTCAACAAAATAAATAGGAAACTTTAAAATGCAGCTTTCATTAAATTGGATGAAGATTTATATACATACCACTTAATTCTAATGTATTTACATATCTAACACCTACCCCTCAATTTTTACATATATGCCGTCTTACCACTGCATGAAAAGGTGTATTTCACTTTTTAAAATGTTAAAAAGGTGGTATTTTTTATGTGATATGACAGATTTGGGTGGTATAAATATAAAAAAAGTAGAGTTTAGGTGTTAGATAAGCAAATACATGAGAATTGAGTGGCATGTATGCAAATGCCCAACCCAAAACTAATTTTCTTACCTTCAACGGTACCAAGAAACCCACTACACTTTGTGTCTTGTGCGATAACATTTAGCCTTGTACCTCCAAGAATGCTTGAATCTGCATTCACATCCTCCACCGCAAGCTGAATTGCCGGCCCGGCGGCCCTCCCAATAGTAGAATTGAAGGTAAAGAGAGCTCCAATATTCACAACTCTTGGTCTTGAAAGGCTTCCTGTGCCATTCTTCTCCACTGCCTCTCCTCCACACAGAACAAACAAGAAACAAACAGCCAACAAAGAACCCAAATCCATGGCTCAAATCCAGAAGAACCAACTGCCTGCTCACCCCAACCTCAGCTGTTGAAAGTACAAAGGATTCAAGAACTTCTTCCAGTTACAGTTGAGTGAGCTCTGAATTTAACTAACAGTTTGAGAGAGCATTAGCAATACTAATTAACTAATTACAACAATAATATGTGACTGAATCCATGAAGCAAGTCATATAAACCAAAATACCACATCCACGGAAAGAAGGGGAAAAAATACAAGATCTCAAAATAACAAACATACAAAAAGAATGTCAAAATAAGATTCTCAACAAAAAAAAAAGAGAAAACAGAAGAAACCATAATCAAAACATCAATCTTTACAAAGTCTGCAACTTTCTTTCAGAAACCATAAAAAAAATGGGAAAAAAAACAGAAAAATCGAATCTTGGCACTGAAAAAAAGGAAAATCAAAGTTACTGGGCTGCGTTAAAGAGAGAAACAGAGAAAAAAAATACCGAGGAAAACTTGAAGCCCCAATCCAAGTGCTAGACTAAACGAAGACGAAGGTGTATCTGAAGCATCTGAACGTCTCCTGTGAGAAGTCGCAGCTCAAATGTGACTAAGTAAGGAAGACAACAACTCAGGGTCTTCCATCCAATCACTTTTAGCCTATCTGAGTCAAGCAATATCTTACGCCATTAACTAAGCTTGGAATAAAGGAAAAGCACGGGAAGAATCACCCAATCTTCTGACTCTGGGGTTCTTCGGAATTTGAAAGCTTTTTTTTTTAATTAAATAAATAATTTGATTTGCCAATATGTTTTGAAGCTGCTGCCTAGCTATAGTTGACCCGTTTGACTTCTATGCTAAACTCTATATGTTTTATATAACCAACTAATGAATAAATAGAAACTAGAATTTGAGTCTCAGGTTAAAATTGGGGTCTTATTGTTCGTCAGAATTTGATATTGATGAATAATATTTTTATCTATTTGTAGTTAAAATTTAAAAATATTTACTTTTTTTTATTAATTTTTTAAATGTTATTTTAAAATCTATTTTGCTTAGACTTATTTATAATCTATCAATCTCTTGTTAGTTTCATAATTTCTCTATCAATCATGACCCCTCTGATCGAGTTCAAGCCAGGTTGCAGGTCGGCTAGCTAGTTTGGCAAAATGTGTAAATTTACATGTTTGTCTTTATTTTAATTGGAGTGTTATAGGTTATTCTTGCCTTTTGGCATGCATTTTTATATTCATAACTGATTTTGACACTTTTTTTTATGGACAATGGCTGGCATTCGCTTTAACAAGCTGGTTGGCTCTGCGTGTTGTGGTTGGTTTGCCTTAAGAGGGTCGGTCGGCTTGCTTAATTATTATTTTTTAGTGATTTTTTAAAATATTTGGCAGAGTTGTTGAGAAAGTTTCACGTTGATACTTATGAGATTGTTGGGGGTACTGAACCTTTGATCGGTTGTTGGCGTGGATGTCTGCTTCTGGTCGTCATGAGTGACCCTTTGGTTGTGTGGCCTTCAGTAGCTCGGTAACCGTTCAGTCGGCTAGGTGGTCTTCAGCCAATTGAATTGGCCATCAGTTGCCTGGACTGACTATGAGTAATTTTGGCCGACTCTCAATCATCCTTTGAATTGAACCATTAAATTGTCTCAAAATTCATGCTAACTATTTTAATATGTAGCACATAACAAAATATAACGTTAATATAATGATAATGAAATTTGTTATGCGTTGTTAATTAATTCTTTTTTATTTGCCTCAAAATTGATATTGTAAACAATACAGGGGCTTAAATGTAATAATAATTTTTGCAACGTGATTATCAATTTAGAATCTGCAAAAGTTTGTGGGGTCCACCAAGCCCGCCCACCGTGTCAGACTTTAATCATCATTATTTTTTTTAATTTAATCTGCTGTGAAAGATTCCGTTCACGTTCGTTAATTAAGGTTTCTTTATTACTATTTAAACATTTTTAAAAAACTATAATTAAATTCTTTATCCGGAGAAGGGTAAAAATATAATTTTATAGAATTAAAAGGTTACTGGGACTAATGTAAGCAGGTCTGTGAATTTAGCTCAGAGATCACTTTGGGTCCGATCAGGACTAGATCAAAATAAACAAGCTCAACTACAAGCCGAGCCATATATGAATCGTCGCGAACTAATTCGTGACAGACGAGTGGTTAATTTCATCTATAAAAGTTATGTACATAATACTACATAAAATTTAATATAGGAAGTCACAAGCCTATTTTGAACCGATTTGAGTTGGAACGGATTAAGTAACTCAATTTGAGCCATTTAGTTTTAGGGTTGGTTTGGGAGGGTGTCGGGGGAGCGGTGCAGGGAGCGGCCGCGAGTTCGACCGTTTGGGAGTGCGTCGGGGCAGCGGCGTCCCGCTTTTTTAGTTAAACGCAGGCCACAGTTCATGTTCGAGGGTTACTTTTTACGGAGCGAATCTTGTTATTTGCTCCCGCTCTCGCTCTTCTTCGATGGTGTAACTTCGGGTGTGTTTGGGGCAGCTTGTGAGTTTCAAGATAAGTTGCTTATCCTGAAACACAGCTCACGGTCTGCGTTTAGTGTAAAAATCAAACGCGGTTTCGCATAAGCTGGCGAAAGACGTGAACCAAACGGTACGACTGCGTTTTGAAAACGCAGCCCACACTGGGCCCTTCGTCTTTCTTCCTCTCCTAAATTCTCCTTTGCACGTTGCCTTCTTCCGCACCCCCTCGCACAGTGCCTCCCTAATCTTCTTCATTTGCCTTGGTCAGAATATCATAATAATTATATATCCTTAGCAATTATTATGATCCTTAATATATCATAATAATATATTAAAAAATAATAAAATAATATATCATAATAATTATATTTTTATAATTTAATAGTTATTATATCAAATAATTGTATAAATAGTAAACGGGAGATGCTCCTCATTTAAGCCCGACCCGATAAATTCTTGCCTTACCCGAGTATCTATCAGAGCCATTTCACTATTAATTTTATTTTAATTTAATTTAATTATTATTGTGTATTGTTGTAAAAAGAAGAAAAAAGAAACATCACTCATTTTAATTTTAAAATGACTTTTTCAAACAAAGACAGAATGATCATTTGTCAAGAAACAATTCTCACTGACTATTTTCAAACTGCCGAAACAAACAACCAACTAGCTTCCCCGTAGAGGCAGCTAAGTTGCAGTTGCCCTAAACATACCCTCAATTTTAAGCATAATCAAGTTGATTACAAGTTGAAAAAGATCTGAATAACTCAATTTGAGCCAACTCGTTTCGATTTAGAGTCAGATCAGCTCAATTCAATTTTGAACTGGCTCGACTCGAAATTGAGTATAATGAGTCATGAGCCAATTTTGAGCTACACTACATCTATTTCAGCTTATTTCGAGCCAACCCCAGCTCGACTCGAAATAGAATTATGTTGCGAATATGGAAACTAGTCCACTGTTCAAATTAGCATTTTCTCATGTTTGACAGCAAATTATTTGATTCCTTCTATGATTTGCTACAGATGAGAAAAGTAAATAATTAATGAGTTTCATTAATTATTTAATTAATTCCTTAATGGGTCTAATGACATGATGAAATTAATAAATAAGCATGCTAGCTCCCCTTGTAATCTCCATGGGGATTTGGTTTTCCTCTGACGTTTCTTCTTATTGATGGTAGCTCTCGGGTTGAGAGAGAGAAGGAGATGAGAGAGAAGAGAGGATATTCTTCTTTCTTATAATCGTCGAGGTGATCAACGGGTGTAATCCTAGAGTAATAAAATCCTCTGCAGTTTCGTTTACGTAGGCAATTTGTCGAACCACGAAATCTGTGTGTTTCCATTGTTTTCTGTTTTGCGAATTTTTTCTCGATCCAGTTTTTTTGCTTTATTGTCTTCGCTTTTTCACAACAACTGGTATCAAAGCTCATGTTCGGATATGAGAGAAAGCGATGGCCAGAGATTATGTGATGACATCAAGGATCGAGAAGTTTAATGACACAGATTTTAGTTACTGAATGATACAAATAGATGACTACCTCTATAGAAAAAAATTTCATCTTCCGTTGTTGGGAAAACAACCGAAAAAGATGGATTCCCTGCCAGAGAATCAGACTTGGGAGCTAAAAAAACTTCCACCAGAGAAGAAGACATTGCACAACAAGTGTGTTGCACAACAAGTGTGTGTACGTGTGTGTACCGGGTGAAGACTGCGTTTAATGACAGTAAGAGGTACAAGGTTAGACTCGTTGAAAAGGACTTTTAACAGAGGCATGATATTACCCATACAGTGGGAGTTGTAAGCAGAAACACGAGTAACCCAAGAAAGAGCTTGGAGGTACAAAGTTATGTTGACGATGATATGCTGACTAAGGGTGTTACTTTTGAAAAATTGAACTTGTGCTCAACTTCAGCTAGCCTTCTGGCATGAAGACCGGGGCTTTGAGTTTTAGAGGTGAAATATATCATGTTTGAAGAAAAGGGCGACGTGACTAGTGGATGAAGTCTCAAAATGAGAGATTTGTTGCGAATATAAAAACCTGTCCACAGTTGAAGTTGACATTTTCTCATGTTTGACGACAAATTGGATTTGATACTGTCACTGTTACTAACAATTTTAGGAGATGCTCGCCAGGTACTGCTTCACCAAACGAAAACTTTCGCATGTGTCGATGTTCACATCAACGAAATGGAGGTTCAACGTCTTCTCAAACGAAACTTTACATTACTTATGTGATATGTTAGATTTGGGGGAAGAAACATAAAAAGTTTAGATATTATATGTAAAAATACATAACAATTAGATTGTATGTATGAAAATGCCTCTTTAGAAAATTATTATGAACAAAATTATTGATGCATGTATTATTTCACACATTGTTGCTTATTAAAATGTTGGCAATAATATTCATGGAGATTAGCATCTTTATTTTGTGCAAAAAATTCATCACAAGTACAAATTTATAAGTGATGATGTGTCAACGTTAGCATTAATGTCAATGACATACGTCAAATTTATAAGTGATGATGTGTCAACATCCTAAATGATGACAATCAATGATTTTAACAAGCATCAACATTAATATTGATGGTGGGTGTTGATGACTTATGTCAATGTTATTAGTGAGATTGTATTGAAGGAGATTATCAATTTGTAAGCAATGCAATGAATCAATGTTGTTAATGAAAAAGTCAACACATGTCGATAGTAGGGTGACCGTAGTTTTCAGATTATCATTTGGTGAATGTGATGGGGAGATCGTAGTTGAGTGACAGTAATGGCTAGAAGGTTGTGGTCGAGTGAACAATAATGTTGGGGAGATAGTCGTCAAATAATGATGATTGGGAGCTAATAATTTAGAGATTGTGATTAAAAATAATGATGATTGAGATATTTATTAAAATTTTCAAAATTTACACTATTGAAAATTGATAATTAGCTTAAGACCAATAAAATCTTCTTTTATTTGCTATCTTATGATTGATTTGCTTGGGAATGCTGTTTTAATACGCTTTGTCCAACAGCTGAAATTTGTAATACTATTGATGATATTATTTAAAATATAGTAAAAATGTGGTTATCCTATGAAATAAAATTATTTTTATTCAATATTTTAAATATATATTTTTAAAATTTTATATAATATTAATATAATAGTTGACGTGTCATCAATAATTTTTTATTAAACATGGATCTTGAGTAATCTTTCAACTACAAATTCAATATTATCCGGGCTTTCATTTAAAAAGTTTATAGTGAAATTGAATGTCTCGATAAGAGAAACCCAACAGTGTCTAAATTGGATCAATTTGGGTTCCATCAAGTCTAACTCAAGATGTTTAAGCACAATTGAAAACTTTAAATTATTGATTAAATGGTCAAATGAACTCCAAATTTAACACATTTATATTTAAATTGAGAGACCTGACAAAATGAATCCAATAAGCTTAAGATCTCTTAATTTTGAGATCATTATGATACCTAAATTATTAGAAAAATTAAATATGATCAATGAAGATTATGATGTACAATCCAATCAGGTGGTTAGTGAAGTTATGTGCCAAAAGACCAAAAAATCCTACCCTAAAAGCTATAAATAAGCACACTCTCTTCACTTGAAGAGAAAGATAAGAAGAGAATGAGAAGTGAAATTTCAAAGTATATTCTTAAGAGAAGACCTAAGGAGTAACCACCAGATTGCATAGCTGTCAGCTATTGCGGACCATTGGCCTCCGCAGTCGTGGGCCATTGTTGACTATCATCGCCTTTACCACCCGCCGCCACCAACTACAGGCTGTTAGTGACCACTACTTTGCAACTGTTGTAGCCATATCCATTATTGTTGAATTTCCTAGCACTTGTACTTTTTAAGCTATCTAAAGACGAGTGTAGTTTTTCAGCGTAAAATTGTAACCCCGTTCTTCCATTCCTGAGAGAATAATCGCACTCTTGTACTTACAAACATGCAATGACTTACTTTGACTAAGATAGACCCCGTGTTTTTTTTTTCTTTTGGAGATTTTTCCACGTAAAAATTCTGATGTCTTCACGCGCTACTTTTATGTTATTAAAGTGTGTGCTAAATTTTTGTACAACACTAATATCTCTAACATGTTAAATATTTACTCTACGCTATGAATTTTTAGGCACACAACAATATTCTAGTTGTAATACCTCCATAATCAATTAATTTCTTGTATTCCTTGTTTGCGATTTTAATTTCACTTCATTCTCACCAATTATGAACAATATCATGGATCGGTCACTCAATTGTTTCAATATATATATATATATATATATATATGTATATATATATATATATATATGATGCATTTATAAAAGCTCTAGCAAATATAAAAAAAACTAAAGAAAAATTATTTAATTTTTTTTGGTTTTTAAGCTAGTGAAAAATTGATGGTGCAGAAAATATTAGGATTTAAGAAAGAAATTTGATGGCCGATTTAGTAGTATTTAATAATTATCAAGTCAAATAATTTCTTGGTATTCCATGAGAATGTTCTTGCAATCGTCTATTTTTGCAGAAAATATAACGTTTGGTAAATTGGATGTACGACCGATGGTTGTGTAGATTACACCATGCCACTGGATGCAAATGTGGTTGGATTCACGTCGTCATCCATACTTCAGGACGTTTCGGGTATCACACCCTATACTCGGGGGGATTCGATATCTAGATCAGAGGGAACTTACAACTGATAAGCAGACGCCTGACCAAATGATCTATATATATATAAAATTTTATAGGTGTGATAAATTTTTCTAAATATTAGAATGACTTTCATTAAATTATCAAATATTAAGAGGTGCTGATACTTCATGAACAAATTCTCATCATGCGACACGAAACCCGAGGTATGTAACGGATCTCAATGAACTTTTTTTAGCAAGAAACATTCATTTTGATAACGAGTCATCTAAAAGTACGATTTCAACAAAATTATAGTCAAACTGGCCGGCTCGATGAGAGGAACCTAATGATATCAAAACTAGTCTGATCCGAGCCAAATCAAACTCACATCAAGTCATTAAATCACACTTGAAAGTTTTTGGGATATATTTGAACGGTCAAATGGATGTCGAATCCAACGAGCTTCCAATCGAATCAAGCGTCCCGACAAGACGAATCCAATAAGTTCAAAATTGTTTAATTGTGACATTTTTAAGACACTAAAAAATCCTTCAAATATTATTTAATTGATGGAAGCTCTTCATGCTGTCCAATCAAAGTGGTTCATATTGCCCATTAATTGCAACTAATTCGATCATGATTTGAGCAAATTTTGAAAACGGTTCGAGCGAGATTTAGTTTTAGTGCAAACGAGATTCAAACTTAGTTCAAATAACATTTGAACATTGTTATGATACCAACTATGATGTTTAATATTTTTAGACATTAGTAAAAATTTAGGTGCTATATCGTAAAATTTAAAACTATCGTGTGAGATATGTACATTCATATATTTCAAGTGCTACATCCTCTAATATCTTATAAATATTTATATAAAAAAGCCTTTGAGATATTTGATTAGTTCAAATATTCGAACTTTAAATCACAATATGCCAAATTAAAATGGCAAAGGTCCAGATTGAAAAAAGAGGCAGTCGAGTCCGTCAAGTCTTCACGCTGTTTTAACCAGGACTCAAGGTTTGCATGCAATAATATTAATTTGGGGGGTCTATGCGCAAGAAAATCAACTATATATATAGAGAGAGAGTTGAAACCGAAGACAAAACTGAAGCCGAGCAGCCGACCCAGTTGTTGCGAATTCCACCTCCGTCCGCCATCGCCTCACCTTCCCCTCCTTTCCAGCAGCCGTACTCCTCCGCACACCTCCAAATCATCGGAAACCTAAACTTAGGTTTTCCAAACGCAGTTCACCCAAGTCATGTCATGGGGCTTGGGCTGGAAACGCGCCTCCGAGGTCTTCCACCTCGCACTTGACTACGGTGAGTTCGGCGACAATGCTGACGGTCCGCTCCCATCTTCCCCGCCCACCCAACCTCCAGAACCCCGCCCATCCTCTGACGAGCTTGGCTTCCGGATCGATCTCGAGTGGTCGGCCGGCGACGACGAGGAGCAGGTCGCACTCCGCCTCCAGTCGCAGGTCGTGGTCGCACTCCCCCCGCCTCAGGACACAGTGCTCGTTGATCTTCATGAGAGCGGTGGGGACGGGGAGGAGGATGCAGATGAAGGTGATGAAGAAGCGGGAGCCGCTGCGGGTGGTGACGATGTATAAGGCCGCGGGGTCGGGGCAACAGAGCGATGGGGTCGGGGTTTTGACGCGGCTGCTGAGGTCAGATCTCTCGTCAACGGGCAGCAGAGATGGCTTTTCCCGTTTTTCGGAGCATTGGGGTGGCGTAAAGGTTCTGAATCTCTGTGGATGCGGCTTGTCGGTGAGTTTTTTAAGCGATATTTTGGGAATTACAGTCCTCGTTGTGTTGTTTGACCTTGCTTATTGGGTTGATGCTTAAACTTAGATGGCCCTGATGCGTAATTAGGTTTATTTCACTCCATTAGGTCCTCTTGAGAGCCCATTTCTCTCGAATTGTTGTATCTCTACTTCATTTGGCGAATAATCAGTTTTTTGTTCATTTTTCTACACCGATAGCTGGTTAAATATTCATCAACTGAAATGAATTCTGAATCGCGAGTACTTGAGTGTCATGAGTTCTATGACATTTTGAAAGTGAAAGTTAGTGACATCGGGAAGGTTACTTCATGTTACTCTTGAATTTAGAATGGAACTTTTGGTGACATTTGGTCTACAATAGGGTCCTTCTATTGTGTTCGCATTTTTTATACTTGTGGTGAAATTTAGGTTTTCACTTCTTTTTATACCTTAATAACTGCATCGCTCTTCTTCAGCTATAATTGATTATCTGTTAAGTACTAGAGTTCCATGAGTTTCATCATATTTTATTAGTGGCAGTAACGAGATCATGATTGTTTACTTCTTGTTCTTCTTCAATGAAGAGAGGAACTTTTGAGGGCTAACTAAATAAGTAACTAATTGTTGTTGATGTTGGAGGTTCATTCTGATATGTGGCAAATCAAAACTTAATTTAAAAAATCATGCTTTTCAGCAAAAAATAAAGCAAAAACCTTTCTCATTGTCATTTGTGAAGCAATTATAGTTGTATTTTTTCTCAAATTCCATAGAAATTACATGCATTGCTTCACTGTTCTAGCTGAAAAGTTTTAGTTCTGCTCGTTTGTTTTCTAGGGGGCTTAGTGGAAAACTGAAAAATCAACATAATTATATGCATTTTTGTGTTAAAGTCAAGATGGCTTATCTAGCTATATGTTTGGTGGCTTAGCCAAAGCTAGGGACTTGTATGGTCTTCATAAAAATTAAATTAACTTCTATATACAAATTTAAAAACATTGAAAAAAATTATAATATTATTTTTATTATACCTAGGGATATGGTTATTGATAGTTCATAGAGATCATTTGATTAACTTTTTTATGTGCCATTCGGTGTTATTTTAGACTTCTGTTACTAGTTTGATCCATTCACATTGAGTTGATGCTTTTCCTATTTTCTTTTCCCCTTGACCACTTAAGCTAAAGATTGACATATCTAGGCATAAAATGGCATGCATTGTATGCGCATTTCAGTCGTTAAATTATATAAGCAGCAGCTGAAACACTTTTTTGATTTATTTAAATTTCCTCTCTGATGTTCCTTGTTTTTATCATTTTTTAAATTGCTTTTTTGCAATTCTTTACTATCGTTTGTGGGTAAGGAATTTGCATATATAATAGCAGTGTTATCAAAGCGCAAAGTGTAATGCAACACATAATGTTTTCTTTTTGCTTCAAAGCATAAAGTGTTGAGCAAAGCGGTACTTTTATTAATCAAAGCACCAATAGGTTATATAAAACTATTAATATATAAATGCATTCATTAATAATTATAAAACATAAATTATGACTTTAAAATTGATATATAATAGAAAAAATTGGTACAATACCTAATTTTAAGGTAAATATTGAGGTTGACCATGAAAATTAAAATTTCGAACAATTTCTAATAGTTTATTGAAATAATTAAATCCTTAAAAATAAAAAAAAACCCTTGTTTAATTTGCTCGTGAATTGTGCTTCGAAGCGCACTTTAGCGAAGTGGAGCGGGCACGCCCTTCGCTTTGCTTTACTTGTGAATCGTCCTTCGAAGCACACTTTTAAAAATAATGTAAAATAGTTACTTGTTTGTTTATGCCTGATTGTATGAATTAGTGTATTTCATATGATGTTGAGATATATTCAGATACAAATGTATTGCCTTTTATAAATTTAAGTGGTTGAATGATAGTTCCCAGTGAACTGCCATTCTTTAACTTCTTCATCTTTGTGGAGCTAACAGGTATTGCCTGTAGAGCTGATGAAGCTTTCTCTTCTTGAGAAGCTTTATCTGGATAACAATAAACTTGCGCAGCTTCCATCTGAACTTGGTGAGTTGAGAAGCTTGAAAGTGCTAAGGGCGGACAACAATGTCCTGGTATCTGTACCTGGTTAGCCCAAATCACTTAATCGTTTGTTTGGAAACTTCAATTTTTTCCAGATTGACGCGTAATTTCTCGCTGTATGATTCTCTTTCACATTTAGACCATTGGATATATTCTTTTCAGTTGAGTTGAGGCAGTGTGTGATGCTAGTTGAGCTTTCACTTGAACACAACAAGCTCATTCGCCCACTTCTGGATTTAAGGTCATCCTATCAGCAGCATGCTTTGCAAAGCTATTTTACATAGGCTAATAGGTTTCCCTATCTTTTGAATATGCCGATCAAGATAAAATTTATTTTCAGTTTAATGGCAGGGCTATGCCAGAGCTTCAAGTTCTAAGACTATATGGTAATCCACTTGAGTTCCTTCCTGAAATATTACCACTGCACAATCTTCGACGGTTATCTCTGGCCAATATTAGAATTGAAGCAACGGAAAATATTAAGACAGTGAATGTGCAAATAGAGGTAATGATTTCAGTTTGAAACCTTTCTTGGCTTGACTTTTGAACCTACATTAAACCTTCTTTTTTTTGTGATTTCAGATGGACAATGCCGGCTACTTCAGCGCATCAAAACACAAATTGAGCCCTTTCTTTTCTCTTATTTTCCGGTTTTCTTCATGTCATCATCCCTTGTTGGCATCTGCACTGGCAAAACTCATGCAAGACCATACAAATCGTTTAGCTATTAATAAAGAAGAAAATGCTATACGCCAGCTTATAAGCATGATAAGCAGTGATAACCGGCATGTGGTATGCTCTTCTTTTTTAGCTAACTAATTTGATTACTTTAGCTGCCTGTTGTTTTTGAAGAACGCCAGTTGCATTGATGAGTGCATATTTCAGGTTGAACAAGCTTGTTCTGCTCTTTCTTCACTAGCATCAGACGTTTCCCTTGCAATGCAGTTGATTAAGTCTGATATAATGCAACCAATCGAGTCTGCTCTTAAATCTGTGGGTCAGGGAGAGTTAATGTCCCTTTTGCAAGTAATGGTAAACTTGGCATTTGCTTCAGACAGTGTTGCACAGAAGATGTTGACAAAAGATGTACTGAAATCACTTAAAGCACTTTGTGCACACAAGAATATAGAGGTAACCCACGACTTCAATCTGAGTTGGAGCCAATGATAACTAGGGAATGTGTTTTGACTTTGGTTTTCTCATCAGGTGCAACGGCTAGCATTATTAGTTGTTGGCAATTTAGCATTCTGTCCAGAGAATCGCCGTATGCTAGTTCAATCTGAAAGCTTTCGTGAAATTCTCCTGCGCCTGATAGTTGCACCAGAGCCTCGTGTACACAAGGCTGCTGCTCGTGCTTTGGCCATCCTTGGCATGTCATTTCTATTTCACGGTTTAGTTGCAAATTTTCATTTATTTAAGAGAAAAGTGTCAGAATAGTCCCATGACTCTTTGTAAGGGTCATTTTAGCATGAGTTTATAAAAATTTCAATTTAGTTCCCCACAGTCTTTCAATATGGGTTAAAATAGTCTCCAGTTAAAGACTATTTTAGCTCCCATTAAAACAGTCCGTGGACTAATTTAGTCCTTTTATAAACTTTGGGATTAAAATGATCCAATGTAAATATTCGGAGACTATTTTGACACTTTACTCAATTCTTCAAGGATAATTTGTATTCATGTTCATTATATTTTTATCAACAGGTGAGAATGAAAGCTTGAGAAGGGCAATTAGAGGAAGGCCAGTTGGAAAGCAAGGTTTACGCATTCTTTCAATGGATGGGGGTGGTATGAAGGGTTTGGCAACTGTGCGGATGCTTAAGCAAATTGAACAAGGCACTGGCAAGCGTATTCATGAATTATTTGACCTTATTTGTGGCACTTCTACTGGTGGCATGCTTGCAATTGCCCTTGGAGTCAAACAGATGACCCTGGATCAATGTGAAGAGATTTACAAAGAACTAGGTGATCATCAATGATGAGTTACCTTACTTGGCATCTCATCTTTGTTATTTAATTTCTTTTAGATACTACGCATAACTGTGTTATTGGTTCCCCAGGTAAAGTTGTATTTACTGATCCTGTTCCAAAAGACAATGAAGCTGCTAGTTGGAGGGAGAAGCTGGATCAACTGTACAAGAGTTCATCGCAAAGGTTTAGGGTAGTTGTTCATGGATCTAAGGTACGGAATCTCAGGCAGTGGTTTTTTTTTCCTCATTCTTCTTCTCAGTGAACTTTCTCATGCAGCACAGTGCAGATCAATTTGAAAGGTTACTTAAAGAAATGTGTGCGGATGAGGATGGTGATCTCCTCATAGATTCAGCTGTGAAAAAGATCCCAAAGGTTTTTGTTGTATCAACTCTCGTTAGTGTTGCACCTGCTCAACCATTCATATTCCGAAACTATCAGGTGCATCCACCGCACCACACTTTTGCTATGCTTCAATCCTTTTGCTTTAAAAAATTCTAATTTTAGGGCGTGGCTAGAGCAGTAATTATATTGCTTCCATTGTGACATTTAGATTTGATTCTCGAAAATAACCTTTAAGAAAAAATTATACCATCCCGAGCTCTTGCAATTGCAGTAGACTCATGTGCTGAATGACTTTTTTCTTACTTATATTTTTTTCCTTAAAATATGATATTCTTTAATGAACTTCATATTTTGGTCATAATTGCAATTGCAGTAGACTCATGTCATAATGCATCTAAGAGAAAGAGATGAAGTTTGTATAACAAAGCAACTTCAAATACTATTGAAGTTCAAGCAAACAAGATGCTTGGTTCCCACTTATTTTTATTGATGGATTGGGGAGCATTTGAGTTGAGATATTTTCGAAGAATAACTGGCCTTGTGGCTTGATGGACATCAATTATGGTATTTTGTGTGATCGATATAGATGAACACATGCAAATTTGTGTTATTTTATATCTCTCTATCTTTAAAAATGATGGAACAAATTGATTCTTTCAAAAAATGTGGATTGAGATCATTATATCATAAATTAAAACTAGTTTGTATGTGTTTACCCCAAAACTTGCGATTTCATTCCATTCCAATTTATCTGTAGGACTAATCAGGCTGGTTAAAGCTCTGTAACCCCAAAAATCAAACACAGTTAATGTTATCTAATTAATTTGAGGCTTGCTTAACACAATTGAGTCTTATTATAACGTTCAAATTATTATTGATTGTCAAGACCTAGTTGTTTTATCAAGGTTTAATGAACCCAAGGGATTCAGGATCAATTTGGTATACTTGCATTAATTAGCTTGGATTTAATTATTTTAATTTTTTTGGCCCTTAAAGCTGTGTCTAATTAATCAAGCTTGAAGCTCAATTAGCCCTATACGAAATCATCTTCTTTGCTATTTCTATTTGAACACTAACTCAGAGACCTGTTGAACTTGATTAATGGTGTGATTAATGCACATTTGAAATGGTTTAAAATTTTCCAAATTAATTTATGGATTGTATGGAACTCAAATCATTTCAAATTATGAATAAATGAAGAAAAATGGGTAAATTTTGCTGGGTTCATCCAACTTGGATTCAAACTGTCAAGACAAAAAGCCATCTCCATTCAATCTTGTCCTTTTCTAATCGCATCCTATGCCTCTTGCAACTGCAGTTGGCATCTTATTTAGATTTTGAGCCAGCTGACATTCTTCAACAGCTGACACCCACTTTTTAAATTCCAGTGATCTCAAGGACGTGCCAGACCTCTGGTCCACATCTCACCCACATTGTGGAGATGCTTAAAAGGAGGAGAACATGATCACATGCTCTCCAAGCCAACTGAAGGAATTGTCTTCATATAAATAACCCACTATAGCCATTGTAAAAGATAACAGTGGCTGGTTAGCTGAGTATCAATCGTTCGGAATTTGTGTGCAAAATGAAGTCCACTGATGATGACATCAAGCTTAGGTATAGCCTCCTAAATCCTACTTTCTAAGTCTCGCAACACCCATCATGCAAATTCTTCTAAATTCCACCATGGTTGTTTAAAGAGTGCATCTCGTTGCCTTTTTAGAATGTAAATTGTGGCACAAGTTGATGCTTTGTTAGAATCTTATATGTTCCTCTTCTTCTTCTCGGTAGTCTTCATTCCTCCTCCTCCCATTCAATTCCTGTTCTCTTTCTTAATCTCCATGGCAAGAATGCTGGTCTGATTGTGATCTTTAGAGGAAATGGTTGATGTATTTTTGGAGATTCTATAATGCACCATTCTTGTGTACTTTGTCTACGTTGAGATGCCTTCTTGTAACATGTCAATCATCAGAACTCATCTTTTAAACTTCATTGTGTAATTTTGTACAGTCTCATCTTATAAATGCATCAATTCTTGCCACCTCCATCTTTCTTCTTCATATCCATTGTGTAAGATTCTTGGCGTAATAGCTTCTGGAAATTTGACCCATGTTATGTTTTGACACCCAACATTTCACCAATTCTACACTTGTTTTATGAGTTTGTGAAGAGCAAACAAAACCTTCTATTGGGAAGACTACTCATATAGACTTAAATAGTTTGACCCAACCAACCTAAGCCTTGAGCTTCTTTGCATTGATATCACCGTTAAAAGTAGGTTTTTCAACTTTGGCTCATATCTTGAAAGAGTGATGTTGACCCTTGTCTCCCTAGTCTTCGTCTTCCTCTTGCTTATTAGAACTTTCACATACTACTCACTGTTGGAAGGCCAGGATCTTACTTTGTGATTGTTCTTCCCTATCTCCTTGTTCTTGATTCACCACTAGGATCTGCTTGCTCAACGACTCCATCACAACAATCATCTAATGTTTAAGGAGTGCAACTTGCTTAGCCAAGTCGTTGGAGTTTTCTCTTTGCAGTGCGCTAATGTCAATACGTCGACTTTGTTATCATCTTAGTCTTCAACCAAGAATGATTTTCTTTTTATAATCTCTTTTTTGCCAACACCATGCATCAAATGCTCTTCTCAAACCTACCATTTTAATGCCAAGAACTTGATTTATAACCACATGACATAGAAATTCTTCAAACATGTCGAATAGATAAACATATGTGAGGTTATTAATCTTGATTTTTTTTTTGGTGGAGCAAGAGACTATTATTTTTGGTAATACGAAGAACTAGACAAACAAATGAGGAAGATAATTCTCCCTCATATTCTTTTTCTGCTTTTCAACACCTCATAGCCCTTCTCTTAGAAATCTCTCGCTTTCGCTTATCTTTTCAACCCTTGTATTATAGAGGAGATTTCATCATCCTTCTTTCTCCTTGCAATCTCCTTTTATATCAAAAGGAATGTAGATCACATGAAAAATAATTTGACAGGTGGTAAACATAAATTATATGTTATCGTGGTTTTAGATATGAAAGTTATGGAGAGGTCACACTAATTGCGAAACTTTTTTTGGGTTGTTGTCTCCGAGGCAACCATATCATTGCTCGATAATAATTTTTTTAGCCATAATCACTTGGCTCTTGAGTTAGCATTTCCCGATATATTTTTCGTGCCCCTTCTCCCGCCTCACAATTTTCTCAATTTTGATGGATTTTTTTCAGCACACTTCCCCTCTCAGCATCATTTTAGACCTTTCAGAGGTCCTTTTCTCATCTTCCAATTCCTCTCAACATGCTCCATGTCTTCTCATTAACCATTGATTTTCTATTCACCGGCCTCTGAATAAAAGGTAGTCGCATGACCTTGCTCACCAAATAGAATGGATCTTCTAGTATTAGGTTTCAGATCTAGAGAGGGCTCGAGTAGCAAGATGAAGACCTGATCAGATGAAGTCCACATAAAAGAAGAAAGCCATTGAACATAAACCTGACAGGAAGACCCAGTCCTGCTTTAGAAAGATGCTTTGCTTTTCAAAAGTATATGAATATGGAATATTCGCTTGGGCTGGAAAATTATTGCACTCACCTAGTAGTCGTGTGCGTGTCTATTGACCTGTGTGTGTGAGTTCTTGGTTGGCTTCTTGCAAAAATAGACTTCCTAAATTTTCAACCTGCTCATTTATGCACATCAACATTGCTAGTTGAATTTCACTTTTGGGGAGATATTGATTGTTCATATATCCGCCAACTGTGGGCTCCAAACATTCACGCCCTCTCCTCAATACTACTCTTTCTACATTGATTTTTATTTTTTATTTGTTGAGAGAGAGGGCTCATATGGTCGAATTTTCGGAAGGCAGATTAGAATGTAGATAAGACATTACCAAGAAATTTTACCTCATTTAGCCAAGACTTTTTGGTATAGGGTTTGAGATTTTCCATAGGCGTAAGCCCCTATGGTTAATTACCCCTCTTGATAACGGGAGATAACTTTCTATTATAGCTAGTCATTAATAAATGAGTATTTAAAATACAATAGCAACAAGGATTTTAAGTTGTATAATTTATCATTTGAAGCTTAAAACGGATGGTGGGGGAATTAAGATGAAACTCTATCAAGATCCCATGGTTTCGTCATTTCAGGCTGTCATGATCCCTGAATTACTTAGAGGAGGTAGTTGACTCAACCCGACAGAAGGATTCTTGTCAGAGTTTTCTCGTCCAAGATTTCCTTGTTGATATGGGGACAAATTTAAGTCGATCTTAGCTAACAAAAGACTTCATTTCAATCAATTTTATCTTTATGATTCACAACTCAAATGGTAGAAAACTATGAAGCACAGACACGGGCACTGGGACACGAACACGAAACGACACGATACGATACGATACAACATTAATTTAAAAAAAAATATGACACGATACGACATAGAAACATTTTTTATATTTCATAAACTATTAATATAAATATATATTTTTATTATTTTCTACTAAAGACATTACAACAATAAAACTTTATAATCATAATTGTTATTTCGACAATATCAAAATTATCAAGAAATTATCAATACACTTAATACTAATGTGATCAATAATAAAATGAAACAAAATATAGTAAAATGCCAAAAATATAACAACATAATTATTACTAATTGGAGTTAATGCAGTCAATATTGGTGTCATTATTTGTATTAGTTTTGTTGCCCTCATCAATGACACATTCACCATCATTAAGAAAAAAATGTTGTTTCTAAGCATGGCTCATCAAAGAAAAGATTGACAACTTTAAGTATTTCAATATCCTTCATTGTAGCCCAGAAATCTCTACCAACATCCCATAATTTTGTGTCCCTCTGAGAATATTTCGTGCTCCTCCTTGACAGAAGACGAAGATTAATATTAACAAATACCAAATCTTCACCTCTTTGCGGAGTAATTTTGTTTTTTAAAGTGAATTGATAAAAAAATATGTACTCCAGTTTCTTTCACAACAACAAGATGGACACAGTTGAACCAACAATTTGAAAACCTTTCCATCCATAATAGCTCTAGAAGCTATAGAGGCATGATCAACAAAAACACCACTAAATTCAAAACAATTAGCAAACTCCAAATAAAAAAATGGATCTTTCTTCGATGTTTGAGAAAATACTTTTTAAGCATTTATTTCTTTCAATTGATATCTCCATGTTCTCATGTGAAGCAACACGATTTGGAGCTTCACTTAGCCAAGCGTGACTATAATACTTAATACAAAATGCACTTATAAGTGACAAATTTAATATAAGTTAGGATTAATAAAAAATAAACATCCAAACAAATAATATCTTAGATTAAGAAAGTGACTCAACAATAAAGATGAGTGTTGCTTTTATTGCATCTTTCAACTGAAAATTGGGGTCTTCATTGTCTCCCTTTTCCTCATGTTAATATATATTGTCTCACTTTTTTTATCATAGAACCACATATCGTAGACAAGATGGAGAGAAGGTTTATCCGTATCAGTCAATCTCAGCATGTCATACACAGGTTCTGTAAAATCAATAACATAATTAATTTTATCCCACCACACTTCATTCATGATTTTTTCCTTCACAAATTTTGCCTTGTTTATATCATCTTCACCATGTTTATTTCACTTGTCACTGATCATTATCATTTGTAACCCTTGTTTTATTCTTTTGAGTCTCCTGAGCATAATTATACTTGATGCAAAACAGGTCTCTGCAATAGGCAACATTTTCAGCTTTAGAAACTCATTGAATATTGGTACTCATTGAATGGTTCATTATAAAAGTTTTTATGAAATTGACATCTCTTATAATGTTAATTATTTAACTGCATTGCTCACAAATTATCTCATTTCCTTCTATATTTTTTGGAGCACATATATTCTTCAATGTTAAGTTCAATGTATGAACAATACAAGGAGTCTAAAAACATGAGGATATTGATCCTCAATCAATGTCCTGCAGCTTTGCACACAAGTGCATTATAAACGGTTATTTGAATCACTTTACTTGAACCTATGCTCGCCATCACTTCTTTAATTTCATTGACAATGCAAAACTTATCTCTATATGCACCTTTACAGTAAATAGTTTTTATAAACATTGGTCCAGATTCCATGACGCCCATAAAATTAATGAGAGGCTTTTTTTTGGCATCTGTCCAACCATCACAAAGTATGATAACTCTTTTCTCATTCCAAGTTTCCATTGGCTCAAGCAGTCTCTCAACATCTGCTATTTCTTTTTGAAGCAATTTTCTTAACAAATTATAACTAGGAGGAATATATATAGAGATTGTGTTGTTAGCTGCATATGAGAACACATTAAAATAATATAGATTTCTTGGCAGATGAAATGGAATAGTTGCAGAATAAAACATTCAAACAATTTCTTCATGCAAATGCTCTCTGACTTGCAAATTAAATGTTCTTACTAGAACACTATTGCATGACATTTTTCTTTTCTCATGATCATAATCAATACCTTTTGCTATAAATAAATGCCCACTTACCTTAGAGCTATATACAACTGATTTAAACCACTTTCCCGGGCCTGAAAGAAGGAATTGGAACCATCTTAAATGGAGCATTCTTCTTTTTTTGCTCTGCATCAACATCTAACTTCTGGATTTTTTTTTTTTTTTTTTGAATTTATGTTGAAAACACTTTAGGACATGCTTGAATACCAACTGCAGATTGTCAAAGCAAGTGTGCTCTAACTCAAAGAAATAACACTCAAATTCTACCTCCTGCTCCTATTGATCCTAATTGCTCTAATTTGTTGACGTGCCCATAAAAACTTTGTCTCGTTTTCAATGAGATTGTTAGATTTACTTGTTGTAGTCATTATCCTATTAATCAATTGAAGAAAGTATAAACATTTAAAGTTCTCACATATATATAATAATTAATAAAAGGATAATGAGACATTTACATATGTAATTCAATCAGTGTTTTTGATCCACAAAAAAAAACAAAATACCAAATTTCATAGTAATTTCATGTGGGAGGAAAAATGCAAGTGGCTTATTTATTTTGTTATTACAATATGCATATTAATCTAATTTTAGGGGCGTAAACAAGTTCAAATTAAATCTTAAAACAAAGAGATTGATTCATCTCAACTAGCCAATTATTATAAAATTGAGAAATTTACATACGCCCAATTCTTATGCATTAACATTCATAACACCCAAACTTCAATTATTACCCACAGACCACCTTCCTTATTCATAAAAATGTGAAATTTACTGTTTAAACGTCAAAATAGTGGCCTTTTTTATGTGAAGTGAAGAATTTGGTGTAAAAAAATTGTTGTATCAAAGATCGAATACCAAATAATAGCCCAAATCCAAAAAAAAAAAAATTGTTGACGTCAAAATTAAATAACAACAACCGTAACACAGGACCTTACGGGAGTTTTGTCGAAAAAAAAACCGCACACCTTACTAAAGTCTCATCAAAAAAAAAAAAAAAAAAAACACACGTTATGGGAGTCCTGTCGGAAGAAAACAATGTATCAAAAAATAAAAAACGTATGTTGCTACACGCGTGATCGACCCCTGGCTCCCGCCACCTCACTAGATTGTCCCAACTAAGCGTTGAAGCTCTGGGTCGTGAGGGAGTTTACGTGGAAGCTTTGTATCGTGCTTTGGATGATGCCCTAGTTGGATTCGAAGCTTCGGATCACGTCGAAGTCTACCTTGCTTCGATCATGGCTGCTCGACGACTCAATCAGTGATGCGAGACGCTCGACAACGATGTTGTTTGCTTCGGCAGCTTGTTGTGAGGGCAATGGAAGCTGTTGCGAGGCTTTGGTAAGATTGCAAACCTTCAAACGTCGCTAGATTTTTTTTTTTTACGCTTTGGATTCTGCTTTGTCGCTTAAGTGTTACATCTTATTTTAATTCCCGTGTCGAGAGAGGCGTTGAGAGGTGTTGGGGAGGTGTCGAGAGAGGTGTCGGGGTAGGCGGTATTGTCGACATGGTTATTAAATGTCGGACACAATATCGACCCATGTCTGAGCCGTGTTCGTGTCCAACACATGTCAGACACGGGTACAACTTTTATTTGGGAGTGTCGCTGTTTCATATGTGGAAAGCCGTTGGGGAACAAACATGTTGCGACCGTGACCGTAATATAATGATGTCATTTGGGGGCAATCACCCGGTCAAAGAGCTCTGGTTGTAATCGTTATTTTGTGGAACCGCGCGAATAGAGGACTCGGGACACGCTCTCACTGACATGCAATTATTTTAATTGTGAATATATTGATATATTTGATATGACAGTAGTTCTTTATGAGCTAAAGTCAGTAAAAAATCTGTCACCCTCGACAGACTATTGCTGAGGGTGGATGAGGGAGGTTTGCTTCAAGTTTTTAAGTGATTTATTTTTAACTTGAATATTTTGATTAATTACTTTGGAAATTTTGATTTAAACGATTGGTCCCTTCAGTAGAAATCTTGAATCATCTTTAAACCCCTGTCAATTTTGTCCTACTTACAGATGGTCGGGTTCAATAATTGAAATAATTGAATTCAAAATAGACTTTGAATCATAATTTTTTATCAACACGTCAATCATCGAGGTATTGGACATTTAAAACATAGTTTAAATTTTTTGTTGCTGAGAGTGGAGAAGACAACAGAATGGAAAAATTTGTACCTTAGAAGAACAAGAAGAAAACAAAGTACAAGTGGAAGATGGGGACGAGACTTATAACTGACGGAGACGATGATGTTGGCGTAGGGCTTCGACGGGTTGAGGCGAACGATGAAGGAAACGAAGGAGTAAGGTCGATTGCAGGGGCTCGAGTAAATTCCTGTGCGACAGGGAAGGAGTTGTGCTAAGGTAGAGAAGTCAGATTTGCATCTCCCGCAGATTGCCATTTCGTTCATCTGTTTGTAATTGTGCTGAGCGTGAATAGTTATCCCATCGAGCAAACTCCAACAGGCGGGATTAGATAAAATTCTAAGTTAATTAATTTAATTTTAATTAATATAACTCTCTTTTTAAATTTCTGCCCCACATTTTCTTTTTATTTCTCTGATCAACACCGACATAAATTTGTTTAGTGTTCTTTGTTTTTTTCTCTTTAGATGTTTTATGTGTGCAACTGAATAGTGAGTAGGGATGCAAATGAAGTAAGCTGAGCTGTACAAGTGTTAGTTTGAGCTTGAGCTCATTTATTAAGATTCTGTTTGAGCTCTTGTTTGTTTATCAAAATCATGTTCAAGCTTGTTTCAAACTCATTTGAAGGTTGGTTTATGTTGGAATTATTGAGTTTTTTAGTGAGCAATTCATTTAACAAAATAGATGAACATTAATCAAATTTTGATGAGTTTTAATTGAAATTTAATCGATTTTTATATTAGCAACTTAGTTTGAAAAAATAAACGAGCTGCATCAAATAAAGCTTGTCTGGCCTATAAAAAAACTTTGAAATAATTCACAATTCACAAATGAGTTTTAATGGAGCCATTATTTAGCATGAATTGAGCTTCTTACTTGTTCACAAGCTTTAAACGACAATGTTCATAAGCATAAATGATTCATAGAAGCTATTAAATTTTGTCATTTAACAACTAAGTATTCACTAAATTGTTTATTCTGGTTCGATAAATTAATCAAATGATTATGAACGAGCTCTCATTGAGCCAAGCCATGAGTAGTTTGTGCTCATTTGCAACCTAATAGTGAGGCGGTAAAGTTTATTTTACTCAATATAGATTCAATATAGTAGTAGTAATAGTAGATTTTCTTCCCCTTTTCAGTATCCTGTTGGCACCCCAGAGATGGGTTTGGGTGAAAGTACTGCCTCGTATAGTACAGCCACCGGTTCTGTTGGTCCACATTGCAGTCGTCGTTGCGCCTTCATGGGGAGCTGCAAGCACCGGATATGGGAAGCAATAAGGGCATCTTCTGCTGCTCCTTATTATCTTGATGACTTCTCAGATGGTAATTTCAAATCTCTTCCTGAATGTTGCTTTAGGCTTTTGTTTTCTTAGCACATTTTATTGTTTTCTCGCTGCAGTCTGCCACTAAAAGAGGAATTTGTCATCTTTATTTTCTTTCAGATTTGAATCGATGGCAAGATGGAGCAATTCTAGCAAATAATCCTACAATTTTTGCCATAAGGGAAACCCAACTTTTGTGGCCTGATGCTAGAATTGATTGTCTAGTTTCTGTTGGATGTAGTTCAGTTCCAACCAAAGTAAGGCACTGATATATGGAGCTGAATGGGATTCTTGAAACCTTCTAATGAAAATTTTACACTGCATTATATTTTAGATGTATAGATGACTGAAGTAATTGTTTTCTCTCCTTCATGATCAGAAGGTCTTCATGTTTCTAATTGGTTCTCTCTGTTTATGAAAAAATCTAGGTTCGAAAAGGTGGGTGGCGTTATTTCGATACAGGACAGGTGCTGATAGAAAGTGCGTGCTCAGTTGAGCGGGTGGAGGAAACAATGGATACATTGATGCCTTTGCTTCCCGACATGCAGTATTTCCGATTCAATCCGGGTAACTATGGTCGTGTTTTGAGCTGATCGCATTATTTTATTTGCTTAGAAAGCTACAATGTCTTGTACCACAATTTCTTACTTGAGGTCAAGCTCGTCTCGTAGAATGTGATTTTTATATTAAAAGGCACTAGCTTTAAGGAACTAAACGATGATTAAAAACGTTGATTTGATTTCTGTATCATGCAAATTGTTGTAAACAAAGTCATCGTCTCTTTACTACAGTGGACGAGCGATGTGGTATGGAACTAGATGAGACTGATCCTGCTATTTGGCTTAAATTGGAAGCGGCAACTGATGAATATATCCACAAAAGCGGTCTGGCTTTTCAGAGACTATTTGAGCGCTTACTTTCAAGGTATGCTAATGAGGAAAAAATGGCTGAGAAATCAAAGGGCCGCCATGTATCCAACTCGAAACTTGCAAATTCAGGTCTGTATTGTCTCACACTTTTGCTCTCATCGCCTTCACTATACTTTCTCTTTTCTAGTTAGAGCAAATTGTAATTGATTTAGAAAATTGTTTTCTTATCATTTTCAGTGCTTCATGATGACAGCCCTTCATTGGGGTGGAGACGAATGGTTCTGCTTGTAGAGTCATCACATAATCTTGACTCTAAAAAAACCATAAATCATTCTCGGGCACTCGAGGCATTTTGTGTTCGTGCCGGCATTAAGCTATCTCTTACTCACAAAACTTCAGGATTGTCCAAGCCAACCACCGCATTTCCTACACCCTTCACATCTCCGATACTTACAGGAAGTTTCTCTTCTAGTCCGCTTGTTTATAGTCCTGAAGGTGGTCCTCAAAGAACGAGCCGTATCGATTTGGTGCCGCCGCTTAGTTTGGATGGTCACCCTCTCGGAAAGGTGACATCTCCTAGATCTCCGCTCTCGAGGCAGCCTTCCATTAACGTCCTTTCCCTAAACGAGAAGCTACAAAATTCGCCTCAAGTAGGCATTATTCATTTAGCTTTGCAAAATGATTCCTCAGGGTTAATACTAAGGTTATATACACTTTTCCTAACTGCTTGAATTTAATTTTGTTAATGTCAATTGATTATTTAGTGAGTGTATTTTTTGCATCAGTTGGCAGAATGATGTGTTTGTGGTGGCTGAGCCTGGAGAACTAGCAGATAAATTTCTTCAGAGTGTTAAGTTGAGCATATCGATGATGATGCGAGTTCGCAAAAGAAAAGATTTTTATTCTCTATCAAAGATTTTTTCTATATCGGATTTGGTTGCGCATTGGCGACAATTTGAAGTTGGCGGCATTCATCATCGTTATATTGGCCGTCAAACTCAAGTATGCACCTTTCTGTTTTTAGTGGTTTTATCTAAATGCATTTGGCTTGGTGTAGAACTGTTCCTGATGCTCATTATTTTGAAGGTGATGGAGGATAATCAGGAGATTGGCGCATATATGTTTCGAAGGACGCTTCCAGCTATTCATCTGTCGTCTGAGGATGTCCGCTGGATGGTGAGATTTATCACATGTTAAACTTATTGGCTTACGTGTAATGCAATCAGTGTGGGCTTAGGATGATGATGAAATCTGTTAAGCAGTCTCTCACTCTCTTTCTTCTCAATGATCCCAGAGAAGCCTGTGTTTGTTAGAACAACTTTCAAGTACTCTCTCTCTCTATTTCACTATCTCATCTCTTATCTATAAATTTGGGATGGAGGCGTTGGACTAGGCGGCTGGAAGCAGCGTAGTGAGGGGTGGGGGATGACAAACAGGGTGATAGAAATTGCATTACTACATGTAATTGAAGCTTTTCTTTTCTTTTTCGGCAAAATTTGTAGGTTGGAGCATGGAGAGACAGAATTATAATCTGCACAGGCAAATGTGGGCCAGCTCCAAGTTTGGTGAAAGCCTTCCTAGACATGGGAGCTAAAGCTGTATTGGCATCCTCATTAGAACCGCCTGATGCTGAATCTGTGGCACTCAATGGCGCTGGCGAATATGGCATATTTGAAAACGGAAAGTTTGTAATTGGTGACGATGAGGCCGACGATGATCAGACCGAACCATCCACTCCCACAAGCGATTGGGAGGACAGTGATACAGAGAAAGCTCGTGTGGTCGACATCGATGACGACGACGAGGAAGAGCTTTCCAGATTTGTTTGTGATTTATATGATATGTTGTTTCGAGACGGCGCAACGGTCAATTTCGCTCTGAACCATGCGCTCAGCTCTCATCCAAAGTTAAGGTACATCTGCCACCTTCCTAGTGCTACTTAAATTATGTCAAATTCATACAACATGAATAAAATTCAATTACAGAGAAGGAAATTCATATGATATAGAAGGAAATTTAGAAAGGCATTAAAAATGTTAGAGTTAATAGTTTTGGAGAGATATATTTATTCAAAAAGAAAATGTAACGAGTCATTCATACAGCTTTGTAGACATTTTATCCATTAAATCAATATGATTCATGGTGAAAAATGCATGGAAACAGACAGTTGCTACCTAGCTTAAGATTTTGAGGGTTGTAAATATAAATTTGGTTTAAGGCCTTTATTGGGTTGTGTTTTTCCTTTGAAATTAATTTTGATTTATATTTAAAATATGATTAAAAAGTTATTGTCACATGTGTAACTTTTATGATTTATGGAGGCACTTAGAATAAATTACAAGGGTTATAATCTAAATTATTCTACTATTCTCACTAAAATGCATGTCTGCCCTTCAATGTGATTCAATTATAATTTTTATTTAATAATAATTTTTTTAATCATGAAAAAAAAATTTAGGCGTGAAATATATGAATACATAACATTTGTGTGCCAGGTATGTAAATTTTCCCAACATATTTCCATTTTATAATTCAAATACACAGTTCAAAATGACAACACATAAAAATGCCTCTTATTATACATAGAACATAATCATAATTCTCATAAGAAAATAATAATACATAAATCAAATACCCTCCCTATTCAGCTGAAAATTCAAACAGCATAGTATGCTCATACTTCTCACCAACCTGAACCACAATATTTGGGAAATTAGGCTGATTAATTGCATTAGGAAACCCCTGGGTCTCCAAACACAACCCCCCATGTTTCTCATAAACTGCTCCTCCTTTCCCCAAAACACCATCAACATAATTAGCAGTATAAAACTGAACTCCAGGCGCATCGCTCCACAAATTCAGCACTCTCAAACCCAAAGAATCCTTAACTTTAGCCACATGCTTCAACCCATATTTCTCTTCATTATTATCAATAACATAGTTGTGATCATAACCACCTTGAACTTGATCAATTCTGTCCCCAATTTTGTTCTCCTTTGTGAAATCGAAGGGTGTGTTTTCGACCGGGGCGATCTCTCCGGTCGGGATTGAGCTATGATCGACCGGAGTTATGTGATGAGAGAAGATATGAATTGAATGGTTGAGAATGTCGCCGGAGTTGTGACCGGCTAAGTTCCAATAGGTGTGTTGGGCGAGGTTGATTGGTGTGGCTTTGTTGACAGGTGTGGCCTCCAGTTTGAGTTTGAGTGAGTTGCTGGAAGGGAGGGAGTATGTTGCGGTGACCGTAACATCGCCGGGATAGCCTGGAATGAATGAGAGTTGTGATTAAAAATTCATTACGCTCAGATAGACTTGGATCAAAGATGAATTGAGTAGAGTGTGGATTAGATCGAAATATATATGCATGCGTTTATCTATGAATTCATAAACATAAAGTATTGAAAAATTATTGAAATTGGATTCCTATTTTAAAGTTAACAAGAGATGTTTTACTCCAAAGAGATGGGGTCTAGATTGAATGGCTACCCTATAAAAAGTAGAAGGAAGGGAGAAATTTATTTGAAGTTATGGGGCATTTACATATTTACCCCCCAATATCTATCTATTTACATATCTAACGCCTAAACTTTGCTTGTTACATTACTATCATACAAATCTTTCATATCACATCAAAAATATTACTTTCTTTACTTTTTTAAAAAATTGAAATATACATTTGCATGCATAGGTAAGGCAGCATATACGTAAAAAAATGAAGTTTAGGCGTTGGATATGTAAATGCATAGGTTAAGTGGTATGACTGGTATGTATGCAAATCTTCCTTTATTTCAATCCTTCAAAGAAACAAATGCTTTTACCTTCTTCTCCATCTTTACTGTAATATTTGAAGGTTATTGCTGGTATCTCGCCATTTTTTCGTTCTATAACCTCCCAGAGCACTTTGTTAAAGCCCTTGTTCCCACCTGTTAAGTACTCAGATATAGAACATTTCAGAAAAAATCATAAGTACTCAGATATAGAACATTTCAGAAAAAATCAATAAGATTTTCAACAAAAAATTGCAGCATTATATGGCTTGATAATTGCTTCATTACAATCATCTAGGATTCAAACATATAATAAGACTTGTAGCGTACACATATATTCACACACACACACACACACACACACACACATATATATATCTATATGCTACATCTCTGATCAATCAAAATTTGTATTGCACTCATCTCAAAGCTAATCTAATGATTTTTCAGATCCATCACGATCAAATTTAGCTTAGAATATCCCGACCGATGGTTTTTCTAGGGCATTATATTAAGGGTATATTACTCACCATGAAGACTGTTTGGGCCATTGTTAATAGGCAATGAGTAGTCCACACCATCGAGAGTAAATTTCCCATCTTTGATCCGATTTGCCACACGACCAACAATGCACCCAAAATAAGGTGCATTATCATTCTGATCGAAAAAAGATTAATACAACTTCATATAATATGTTAAAATGTAGGATAAAAGCAACATATGTTAGAGAAAAAACACTACATGTTTTTATGCAAAGATGATAAAGTGGAATAGACTTTAGTTTTCAGGGATAACTTATGATGATTGCTACTATAAAAGCAAAAAACAAAAAAAATTTGGAAACTACTTTCAAGTCACGACGAAGTAGAGAATAAATATTTAGCCTATTACTAATGAATAAGCATTTTTTAATTATTTTGTAGCATAAAAAAGGTGAAATCATCATGTTTTAGGGAGACTGAACAATTGTAGGGTTTCCAATCAATGATGGTGTGTAATTACATCCACTGCCTCTCTAATCATCTGAATTCATTGTTGATTTCTCCTAACAAATTTTGGATAACAAAAAATATCCTCGCAAGAAGAAAGAGGAATGTGCTAGGATTGTGAGGTAACAAACTTCCATTCCTTTCTTGGAGCAAGGATTGGTCAATGTTAATAAACTTTTACTCTCATCTTTCTCCTCCTCCTGCTCTGCTCCGCTCCGCTCCGCTCCGCTCCGCTCCGAAACCAAGGAGGAAGGCAACTTCACATCTCGCTTTTCATGCAAAGAGCCCGTCCCATATTTACTAAATCCGCCGATTCACAGGATATAGTAAATCCAAGATTTACGGCCGAAATCCGTAAAATCTAAATTTATGAAATCCACGGCTTTAGTTTATCCAAACTGATCATATGACAAGATCTAAATACTGTCAATATTAGGATTTAGTAAATCCAACTATTTAGACAAAAATTAGCACAAATTGAATTTATTATATCTACAGTTTAGAAGTTGTCATTTTTTATGTCTTACAAGATTCAAGTCAAAATTCAATTTAAATCCATTACTAGACAAACCCTTGGCAAAAAAGCACCAGGACTCAAATCAATGCCTGCCACATGTACAGTTCGGGCCCACCCTGTATTACATTATTTAGTTTTGTACATGTGGCAGACAGTGATTGAAGTCCAATGCATCAAGACTCCAAATGCAATATTTTTTCCCCTTGGGGTTGTTTGTTAGCCTTTTGATAGGGATCTATCACTGGATTCACGAATCCAGCCAAACACTAAAATGCGTGTAGATTTATGAATTTCCATATTTAAGGACCTGAATTTTGCCTTCGATTCAACTTAAATCTGGATTTACTAAATCCAGCGAGAGGTTGGATTTAATGGATTTACGATGTATGAATTTAACTACCACAAATAAGAATTAAATCAAATAAATAAATAAAATCAAGCCAAAAGGTTTGTCAAAATCCTCCATTGATCCTTCTCATTCAACACTAACCATAGGAAAATCAAATCAGCAACCCTAAACCGCATCAAAATCCTCTTCTTCTTCTTTTTTTTTTGTTTGGCACAATCCTAAGTGAAATCAAATAACCAAAAGTAAAAAATTCCATCAAATAATCTAAAAGATCCAACCTACAACTTACCAAATAAGCATCGAGCGAATCAAACCCTAGCACCACATCCGCTACATTCCCTGAAATCCAAGTAGAAATCAAAATACGCCATTGCAATCAAATCAGATCAAGATCAAACATGCAAGAGATGCTCAAATTGGATGAACCCTAACCTTCGGAATCAGGGACGAGTAGAGAAGTAATGGTGGCGCCGACGTTGGTCAGCCTCACCGTTATCCTCCCGTTGCTGAGCTCGAAAAGCTCCGGCTTCGCCATTCGATCTTCTTTCTTCGCCGGCGAAACGCTTGCATTGCTTTCGTAATCTGCGGCGGAGAAATTTATAGAACAAAAGCGCTTGTAGCCAAAATTATCAGTCTGTTGGGTGACCTTCCCATTCTTATCGTTTAGTTACTTCTTGTTCCTTAAAATAAGTGGTGTTTACATTTATCAACTTTGATTATTATTGGATGAGGGTAATGGTGGGCTCAGCTCTTCTTCGTTCACTTCTGTTTGTTTATATTTCAAACATAAAAATTTTGTTCATGTTCGCTTCATTTGTTTAGCGAGTTGAACATGAGCTGTTCGCAAACAAATACCTATTAGCAAGCCGAACTTGAGTAGTCCAAACTCGGCTTGTTAAAAAATATTATTTTTCATGTTCGGCTTGTTTATATATCGACTCAAAAAATTTATTTGTATTTGACTCTTTTGCTTATCGAGCCGAACACGAGCTATTCATGAACAATGAGTTATTTTGACAAACCTAATCACACAACGGTAGGATGGTAAAAATAGGGTAAAGTTTAAATCTTATTATTTATATTAAAATATTCATTTAAAATAATTTAATATATTTTTATTATGTTTTTAGTTAGTAATTTTAGTTGATTATAAATCTTTATGGCGTTGCAGCCAATTAAATTATTTAAAAATAATTATATATATATAGATATAGATATATAATTGTTTCGAGCTAAAACGAGTTGAACACGAATGAATGAAATTTTGTTAGTGTTCTGTTTGTTTATATATTGAGCGCAAAAAAAATTATTCGCATTCAACTTGTTTACTTATCGAACGAATCAAACACAAATTACTTAACGGGCCGAATAAGAGCAGTTCACGAACAACGGACCTATTTGACAGCCCTAGATGAGGGCATGCTTTTGTGCATTTTGTACTATAGGCTCTTATATTCTTTAAAGTGTTATTTACGGGCGTTGGATGAAGAAGTTTAGACATTTTTACAAAAGTTTTAAACAGTAAGGGTCTGTTTTGGTAGCTGCAGCTTATCCAGCTTCTACTGATAAACAGTTTATCCTGATAATCTGCTGATTAGCAGCTGATCCAGATAAGCTGGATGACTGTTTGGTTTTTGCGTTTGGAAAATATCTTATTATGGATAAATGACTATTCTGTCTCTATTCTAGATAAACTGTTTAGCTGTTTGGTTTGTGCGTTTTGTAAACAACTTATTTGTAGATTTTTTTAGTTAAATGAACAATCTGTCACACAGAATTTGTAATTTTCTCAACAAATTAAAGTTCAAATGTTAAGACATGAAAATACAAAAGAGTTGAGTTAAAAGCGGCAATTACATTCATACCCTGCTCACAAGATTGGTTTATGAATAAAATACTACTAACACTTTGTATGTTATCATAAATTACAACCTGCCAAGCATGGATTATAAAATATTCCTTATTGTATCATCAACATTCCAGCATAGTAGTTAGAAGAACCCTAACACAAATTGCATGGGACACATATAGGTTGGTAGAATGAAAAGCATAATATCACACAAGTTGTCAGAATGAAATCTTCTTTCATGCTCTAAATTTAAAACCCAATGAAATGAGTTGAGCAAGATTCAAAGGCTTAAGAAGCTCGTTTAGAATTGTTCAAAAAAAACTACTAATCTACTAACAGTTACTCTTAAGTATTGACTTCAAATTTTCAAGATAAACGGATGCCCTTCCAAACAAAACATCCTCTTACATTTTGTTACAACTTGCATATCAATTTACAACTACTTCTAAAGCACCGCAACCTCAATCTTAACACAATTTTTACCAAACAATTATATGTTTTATAGGACACCACAACACTATAGCACAACATCACAGAGATCAACGCTAAAACCAATCCCAATAAAGGCACACAGCCATAAAATCAAACCACTCCATAAAGAAAATTAGGGCTTGAATAATTCATGATATTAGTACTCCTGCATATAAAACTATTCATCAATACATAAAAGAAAAAAAAAGGAGAATTAGAAAATGAAAACAATAGGATTTCTAAACATATAAGTAGCTGAAAAAAATCGCACCTTGGCCGGCGACAAGTGAAGATCGAAAAGCGGATGCAAGGCAGAAAGGCAGAAGAGAACGATAAGAGGAAAGATAAACCTCGACATAGCATGAGATATTAGCATGAGATATTTGCTGCTGCAAGCATTGTTGGTTGGAGGAGCGGAGCAGGATAAAAAGAGGGGAAGCGAGGTGGAGATCTTCAATAAAAATTATGGAAATTATAGCCATATATTGACAATATAAATAAAGTTAAGTGAAGAAGGGGATACCGTGGCGGTGAGAAAACCAAAAAATGGAGGACGAAAACTTGCTAGCATGCAACTACAAGTGGTACCATCGGGAGGACACCTGGAAGAAGCTATCAGACGGAGAAGGTTGTGGAGGCTGCTGGCGCCGAGGTAGACAGCGAGCTCGAAGTGGTATATGCAGAATGGAAGGGGACGAGAGAAGCGAGAGATGCTTCCATCGAGATCGAGCTTGAGATGAGGACGGGTAGGGGCCTGTGCAGTGCTAGAGGCGAGGGACTTCAGATCGAGCTTGGGAATGAGATGGAGCGACGGAGGAGACCAAGAGCATAAGGGGCACCGGAGGAATAAAACTTCAAACACCAACTGAAAATGCGGACCGCAAGCTTCATGCCACGGCTCGCGTCTTTAAGAAATTAAAAATGGGGTTTTGGACTAAGCAGATCGAATGTGCGATCCAAACAGGAGGGTGGCGTTTTCAAATGCCGCCCGCACTTATAAGCTGTCCCAAACGGGCCCTAAAACGATTGCCTTTGAAAATTTTTTAATATTTAAATGCATTAACGGCATCAAAATTAAATAATATTTCTCATTCTCATTAAAATTCATATTTCCATTATAAAATTGCCGAAAATAAAACTCAAACAATGGCAAAATAAATCTTAATATTCTTTGATTGTAATACATCCATTTTGAGGCATGGCGTGAACATTTGTGTAGATCAAATAAATTGTTGAGTGATTTATTTAGGATAATTATAAAAAGCAATAATTTAAAATAAAATGAATTTTAATGACACATGTAATTAGTAAACAATAAATTTTTTTATGAGAATCCAAGACATCTCTTAGTTTACTTAACATATAATATTAAAAGACATTTCATTTAAAAAAGATGTTTAATAATAAAAATATTGCAAATCCCATTCAAAGCTCTTAAAATGGAATGCATTTTCTGTACGGACTCCTGACGTAGCTCTACGCGCCGCGGAAGTTATTCCTGAGTTATTTTCAGGTTATTTCTGATCATTGAAAATAACTCATAAATAACCTGAAAATAACTCAGGAATAACCTCCGCGGCACGTAGAGCTACGTCAAGAGAAAAATTAGGCCTTAAAATGGGTGTTATATGGCAACCCATCTTTTAGTTTATTTAAAATATGATGAAATAATCATACGAATTTATAGTTATAGTAAAATTACAAAACAAATATTAGAGAAATTTACAAATGCAACAGATGATTTTTTTTTTAAAGCAATTGCAAGAGACTATCATACGTGCCTCCAATCACTCTCAAATCCTAATGTGCCTAACAATTACAAGCCACCCTCCGTGAGGCTCACTTTGTCAGAGATGGAATTGAACCCAAGACAGAAGGGGTCTTACACCAAAAATGTCAACCAACAGGCCGGAGTACGCGACACATGCAACAACAGATAATTCTTATTTATTTTCATATCTCACAACTAAACTTTCATATTTACATATACAACATTTTGATGCTTTAAATTTATATATGAAAATATATATTTCAATTTTTTTAGTGAAAATAATACTATTTTTAATGTATATATGTATGAATATATGTAAATGCACAAAAATTTAGCGCTACACTTCTATGTTCACAAACCATTTCTTTCAAATCCCCTGCTTCAGCTCTGCATCCCTTTTCCGTTCCAAAAAAAAAGAAAAATGGCTTCCACCACCAAACCCTCCTCCAAAGCTTCCAGAGCTCCTTCACAAACCCAATCTTCTCTCTCCTCTCACCTCGCCATGCTCGATCTCAAATCCCGCATTCTCTCTTCTCTCTCTAAGCTCTCCGATCGAGACACCCATCAGATGGCCGTCGACGATCTCGAGAACATAATCGCCTCCCTTCCCCCCGACGGTTTCCCTATGTTCCTCTCCTCCCTCCTCCACGACCCCATCCCTTCCCCCGGCGATCCTTCCGGCGCCCGCAGCTCCCCCATTGTCGCCCGCCGCGAATCCATCCGCCTCCTCTCTCTCCTCTGCGCAGCATACCCAGACTCTGCTGCGGCTCATCTCCCCAAAATCATCAGTCTCATTGTTCGCCGGCTTAAAGATCCTGCATCGGACTCTTCGCTCCGTGATGCTTGCGGTGATGCCGCCGGCTCACTGGCGTCCCTGGGGGCGATCTATCTCCGATCCAATGCTGAGGAAGCCGGTGGTGGACGGGCGGCGACGGTGCCGGTGGCTGGTTTGTTTGTGAAACCGTTATTGGAGGTGATGGGGGAACAGAGTAAGACAGTGCAGGCGGGTGCGGCAATGTGTCTTGGGAAAGTGGTGGAAGCAGGTGGAGGAGCAGGTGGAGCTGCGGCGTTTCAGAGGCTGTGCCCGAGATTATGTAAGATGATTGGAGCGCAGAGCTTTCTTGCCAAGGGATCGTTGCTGTCTGTGCTTGCGAAGTTGGCTCAGGTTCGTTTTTTCTTTATTTTTTTTAATATATTTATGGTTGTTGATGTGCTGTGCTGTGCTTATGCTGGTCTTCTAAGAATTATGGAATGTTTCGACATGTATGCTTAAAGACTAGAAATCGCGTCTTCTAATGTAGAAGAAGTGGTCTGCTGCTAACTGTTTGTTTTTTTCTTCTTCTTATTATTATATTTTATTTGGCATCATGCAAGTTGACAACTTGAGTCAGATTTAGATCTGTGGCATTTAATTTTGGATTTTTTTGCATGATAGGCGAAGATTTGAGTGTTATTTGCGGGGCTATTTGGCTGCTAGTAGGACTTAACTCGAGCACGTTTTAGTGATCATGTATATTCAGATTTAATAAATTTTGAGATAATTATAACCTGAAAATTGTTTGGCTGGAGTTAAGCTAGATCTTGATGAAATTCTATCTACAATAGGATATCTAACAGTCCCTTTGGTTTCTTTTCTTCTTTTCGTTTTTTGCCTCTGTAGTTCTTAAAATCAATAATATGTTTTCGGGAGGGGATTAATTGCCCACAGTGGACATAACTTTTACTTTTTTATATAGAGAAATTTTGAATTTTTTTTTATAGAAATCTCAACTTCCAGGGGGACAATTGCCCTCTCACCCTGGACATAACTTGGTTCCACCTTTATATATAGCATAGGTTCCAAACATTATAATCGAGAGGGTGAGCCGGAGATAATGAAAAGAGCAGTGCTATACCTTGTTTCCACTTGTATTCCCCATTGGAAGGTATTCTCTAAGATGCTAGACCACTGTAGTTCTAGGGGTGTAAGTGAGCCTAGCCGACTTGAGCTTGACTAGTTAAAGAGCCCACGAGTTGAGCTTATCGGGCCTCAAGTTTGAGGTCAAGCTCGTAAAGGAGCTGTTTGTTGGCTTGCAAGAAAGCTCGGCTAGCCAGATTCTTGTCGCCTCAATGCTTTCTCCGGTGAGCTGCTGGCATTTCTCATGCGCTCCAGCCTTCGATTACTTTGATGGCTTCTCGATGAGCTCTCAAGACGGATTCATTTGAGTTCACGAGGCCTACAAGCCTACCATTTGTATCTCGAGCTGAGCCAGCGCTTGTATTTTTACAAATAAGCCACGCTTGAGTCAGATGAGATGCCCCTAAGCTCATTTACTTGAGATTTTAAACTGTAAATAGATTCAGACAAAGCTTTCTAAATAAAAAAGTTATCAGCTTCCTAAAAATTCTCATAACCTTTGGCGTCTTGCTGAAACCATTATCAATTAGTCTTGGAAACTAAATAAAGCATTTTTTCTTTTGTTTGGGTTATTGAGATGATTTAAGTTGGTACTGAGGACAAGAAAAGCCAACTCGAGAAGCTCATATACCATTTTTAGCAGTAACGTATTACTCATTAAAAAAAAAAACTTTTTGGCATAAATTTACCTATAAATTTTAATGTCATTCAACCCCAAGATTGGTCAACTTGCTTAAATATCTCACCAGAAATCATTTTTACATTTGACGTAAAAAGTTACACAGGATGTTAAATAAAACACCATGCTACATTGTAATCTTTATATCTGAAAATTTTCTTAAAGTGAATATTGGTTTTCGCAATCATTTGTCTGAAAGTTATAAACTGTATGGCACATCTCAAGTGGAATATTGCATGTAGTGGTACAATATTGTCGTTTGAATTTTATTATTTATTATTATTATTTTTTTTTTAAGTAATGAGTTGATATTTGATCCATAACCTGGAATTATAGTTTTAAAGAGAGTGGCATCTGCTTTTTTCTTGGAATATGGTTACAGCTAATCATTATTTCATAAATATTGAAAACTTACTATATATATTCTAAATAGTGTTGGCTCCTATATATGGACAAATACAAGTAATCAGAAAGAAATAATTACACAAGAGAATATTTCATATAACAATTATATAATATCCTCACTATTGATTCTTCATTCTAGTATGATAACAATCATCATTGTTGTTGTTGCGAGATCTAGATATACTAGTTGATGTGGTATATATATAAATCAAACAGAAGAACGATCGACGAATTGAAAAATAGAACGAGAAAAATCACACCAGAAAAGAACAACACAACGGAACACAAATTTATGTGGTTCGGCAAATTGCCTACGTCCATGGAGCTGCAGATTGAGGAATTTACAAAGGAATTTACAACAGTCGATCACCTCGACTTATAAGAGGAATCTCTCACTCTTCGTTGCTCTCTCTGTTCTTCTCTCTCTGTTTCGAGATACATCGACGAGAACTCTACACCTAGATACACCACGAAGAAGAAACACGTACAAGAGAAATAAACTCAATTTCTCTTCTGCCACAAACCACCAAGAAGAAGCCTAGGGAGAACAATCTTCTTCTCCTTCCTTCTGCCGTAAGGAACTACCGCTTGCACTTCTCTCCTCTGCCCCGAGGAAACCTTCCTCTATCCCGAGGAAACCGAAGAAGAACCCAAAGCGTGACTTCTTAACCCAAGGAGAGTCATCCGAAGCTTTTATCACAAATAGGAGGGAGCGAAAAAATGCTTAACTTCACAAAAGCGGGAGTGATTATCTGTGAAGAGGTGTGACTCTCCAAAGCAAAGTAACCGCCCAAGCATAGTAGATCGGGCTCCATCGTTCCTAACAATTCTTCCACTTGGAGACCGGTACACAGACTGCAACATCTTCCTCAAACTGATATCCTCCACTGACAGTGGCGCCTTTTTCTTCAACATGTATCCTCCATCTTGAATCCTTCACATTTGCAACTCAAAGCCTCTGTCTTTACTCCATAAGACCAACTGAAGCTGTGCACAACTTTAGTTTCTCACAACTTTTGCACAACTTTAGTTTCTCAAGAGTAACACCCTTAGTTAACATATCAGCAGACTCCACATAGCTTTGCACCTCCAAGCTATTTCCTGGTCACTCTTGTCTCTTCTTACAACTCCCACTGCATGAACAACATCCTGACTCTGCTGAAAGCCTTTTTTCAACAAGTCGAGTTTTGTACCTCTTACTGACATCACACTCAGTCTTCACCTGATACACACAATTGTTGTGCAATGTCTTCTTCCCCGGTAGAAGTTATGTCAGCTCCCACTTGCTCGAACTTTCATCTTGCATCTGTGGTTCTTTAACATCTATTTGTGGAAAAATAGGAATTGGTGCCCCAGACCCACTTTTCTCTTCACTTCCATCACTGTTCTGCACTGTGGCCTCTGGTAGATTTCCTACCATATTCAAAGCCCCTGAATCTAACATCAAGTCTTCAACAGAACTATGAACTATCAACAGTAGTGCATCATGTGATTCTTCAGATACCACATTTGCGCTATCATTCTCCATATTCTTTGAATTCCTGCAGTTCTTATTTATGTGGTCAGCCTTGCGACAATTCCAACAGGTTGTCTGCTTATTAAACTTTGGTTTTGATCTCCCCATACTTGAGTTCTTGTCATGCCATCTCCATCTAAAGTCAACATTCAATACCGAACTCGAACCTGAGACATCGCCAGAATCTTTCCTGCAAACTTCCTCAGCCAAAATCAAATCACGAATATTATCGTATTTCAGTTTAGATTTACCTGCAGAACTGTTAACTATTATCCTCATGACTTCCCAACTATCTAATAAGGTTGCTATCAGATCTACAGTCGTCCTTTCATTGACGACGATGTGTGCAACGGACCTCGATAGGGTCAATCAAATAACCCCCGAACTTGTCGATCCAACAAATTTTATTCAGCCTCATCCATCTTTTCAGGTATTTTTCCCAACAATAGAAGATAAAGTTTCTTCCCATAAAGATAGTTCTCTATCTGCATTCTCCAATAACCAAAATTTGTGTCATCAAATTTCTTAATCCTTGAAAACTTTACTTCATCTGCAGTCATCATCTGCAGTAGTCATCATTCTTCCTCAGATTCGAACAAAGCTCTGATACTATTGTTGTTGTTGCGAGATCTAAATATACCAGTTGATGTAGTATATAAATACATCAAACAGGAGAACGATCGACGAATTGAAAAATAGAACGAAAAAAATCACACCAGAAAAGAACAACACAGCAGCAACACAGCATTTACGTGGTTCGGTAAATTGCCTACGTCCACGGAGTTGCAGAGAATTTTACTACTTGAGGAATTTATAGGAATTTATATCAGTCGATCATCTCGACTTACAAGAGGAATTTCTCACTCTTTATTGCTCTCTCTGTTATTCTATCTCTGTTCCGAGATACACCGAAGAAAACTCTATGCCGAGATACACCGAAGAAGACAACTTACAAGAGAAATAAACCCAATTTATCTTCTGCCACAAGCCATCAAGAAGAAGCTTAGGGAGAACAATTTTCTTCTTCCTTCTGCCGCAGGGAACTACCGCTTGCACTTTTTTTTCCTCTGCCCCGAGGAAACCTTGTTTTATCCCGAGGAAACCGAAGAAGAACTCAAAGCGTAACTTCTTAACCCAAGGAGAGCCATCCGAAGCTTTTATCATGAACAGGAAGCGGGAGTGTTTTTTTGTAAAGAGGTGTGACTCTTCAAAGCAAAGTAAACGCCCAAGCAAAGTGGATCAGGCTCCACCGTTTATAACAATCATGTGGAAAATTGTTCATTTAGCAAGACCACTTGCATATATTTGCATTTTGAACTTTTGAAACCATTTTGGAGATCTTAAAAGAAAATTAATGATATAAAATAGCATTTGTAAGTAGCGACGTGCCAACAAAACATTAGGTTTTAATCTTTACATAGTGTTGTATTTAATTTCTAAGCTGAATGTGCTAATCTGACCAGCATTTCAAACAGTCTGGCTTGCTGTTTACTCGATCAAAATGATCTCTGATAATAAAGTCATGTATACTCAGCTATTGATTGACATACATAAAAGCAATCTTACGGCCTAAAGCATTTGTGTTGTGTCTAATCTTCGTTTCTAATAAATATCTCAGAAGAAGCTTTGTTTTGGATTTACTGTAAATAATAATCTTAAAATTCTCGCAGATCGGAGCAGTCAGTTCCCAGAGTATGCCTACTGTGCTGCAAAGTGCACGCGAATGTCTCGAAAATACCGATTGGGCTACTCGTAAAGCCGCTGCTGATACATTACGTGTCTTGGCCCAAGCAAGCCATATAATTGCTGATTGGGCATCCCAAACTATTGCTTCTTTGGAAGCTTGCCGTTTTGACAAGGTGTGTAATCCCGTTTCATACCACCTAGTTCTTATGTATTTACATATATAACTTCTAAGTTTTAAATTTTACATTTATATCACCCAAATCATTCATATCACATAAAAAATACCACTATTTTAAAGTGAAATACACATTTTCATGCATAGGTAAGGTGGCATGTATAAAAAAGTTGAAGTTTAGGCATTAGATATGTAAATACATGGGAATTGAGTGGTATGCATGCACATCTATCTTCTTATTTTAGAAAAAGATTGATGACCTTTCATTCCTTAATGAGCCTTTCGTTTCAAGATTTGCTAACTCTGTTTTTCTTAAATCATTCTGGTTACAAGTTTGCTCAATCATCTCATGCTGCTTTTAAACCAGGTTAAGCCCGTGAGAGAGAGTGTAATGGAGGCTTTACAATTATGGAAAATGATTTTAGAGAAGGGGGAGGATGGCACAGCTGAGAGCTTGAAAGGTACAATATTAACCGGTTCAATTTTTATTTACTATAGAGTAGAGATTTGCTTCTATTTCTTTCAAGTTAATATCTGTACTTTCGTTCCACTGGTGTTACAGTTGGTGAATCTGGAGATTTGGAATTGAAGTTGGACAGTAAAGATTTGACTCTCAATAGTGAGAGATCAGAATCTGTGAAGGATTCATCTTCTGATTCTTCACGGAAAGGCCCTACCCTACCAGAGAATACAGCAGATTTACTAAAGATAAAGGCACCATCTTTGAAAGACAAAGAGTTAAACCCAGAGTTCTTCCAAAAACTCGAATCAAGAATTTCAGATGATGTACCTGTTGAAGTTGTGGTACCTCGTAAATACCCTCAGATTTCACATTCTAAAGACGAAGAAGAAAAAGGAGCAGCTGATGGTGATCCCAAGGGTGCATTCGTTCATGTTGTTGATGCTGGATGTGAATTTAATCAAAATTTTGATCAATATCATCGTTATAATACTAGTGAAAGAAGATTAGGTCCACATGGCAGACAACAAATATCCGATTTCGTTGCTCGAGATAAGCGGGCCGAGCAATTGAGGCCTAGGGACTCTTCTGCAGGCCGTTCCAGTATCTCTCGAGTTGATGTTCTAGTTGAAAGCTCTTTATTGAATAATAAAGTAAATTGGTTGGGCATTCAGAAGCAGTTATCACACTTAGAGAGACAACAAGTACTTCTTATGAAAATGTTGCAGGTTTGTGTTTTATTTTATTTTATTTTATTACTTTTATTATTTTTTATTATTAAAGGTTTAGTTTATTTCTTTCAGATTTGCATGCTGGCTAGTTTTTTCTGGATGTTGGAGGATCAAAATTTTCTTTCAGTCGTCGTATAATGATGGGTTATAACTTTGGAGTTTTTATCTAACTAGTTTGTTGCAGGAATACTTCGTGGGATTAATAAAATAAAGAGATTATTAAGAGGACAGAAAGGCTAACTTTATAAAACTCTATTAGAGTTCAGTTTTGGGCAATAATTGGTCTTTGATAGTTAATTGAAAGGGTTGCCTCCATGAAGAGTTGTGGAGTACGGGGCAAACCTACTGCACCTAAAATCCTTCAAAGTAGAAACAAGGGCTTTGCACATGGGCATGCTATCAGGGTTGTCTTCAACTTTTTGCGGTCTTAACTATGTGTTTATTATGTTGGAAAAGTTTTAGAAGATGATAGTACTCATGGCGTCAAAGTAGAAACTACACATCTTCTTTTTAAGGATATTTTGGCGTGTTTTGTTATTTTTAGTTCAAACATCTCAAATAGAAAATTGCATCCTTAGTAGTTTTTGAAAATTATCGTGGATTGTGATGGATACTAGATTGAAGAGGAGATTAAACTTTCATCCACAAACGGACAACCAAATGTGGGTGGTAAATAGAGCTGTATATATGGTGAGAGGATTCAACTCATGAATTTTGAAGGCTTGTGTTGAAATTTTGCAATTTATTTAGTATGCATTAAGTGGGTAACATGCAATCCAATAAGTTGCACTTCATTTGAGACCTGCCTAAGGTTATCCGCCTCAAAGACCATTTAGAGTAGAATTATTGGCAAAATCAATAAGAAGCCTCAAGAATTGACATGAAGGCCATGGGTGAACGCAAATAGGGGTTAAAAAAACTCACTCTTTGCCAGATCATAGTTGTGCTGTAAGTGTTGGTGCAATCAACACTGAGTATAGAAAATTTTGGAGTCTCCATTTCAGAGATTTACTAGGATAAGGCCAGAAGATCGAGCCAAGTTAGTATGGTCCCTTCAAGATTCTGAAGATGAGATGGGACAATAAATATGAATTAGCTATGGCCGCCTACATGGTGATCTACTCAGTGGTGAATGTGCAAAATGTGAAGCAATTTGAGACTCTAGGTTGGTGAGGTCAAAGAAGTCCTTTCTATCCATGATCTAACACTAGGTCCGGAGAATCAGTTGATAGAATATTAACTTTTGTAGAGAGAACCACAATGAACTGCCAAAGAGCCATTGTGCTTTATTGATTCGTAAAGAGAAGCAATTAGCCAAATTTAAGTTGTTCCCTCTCTTACAACTTGATTCTTAAGGGTGGATACCTTTGGAAGAGACGGGGCATATGAGCAAGAGATTAATGACTTTGAGAAGGCAAAATGGAGGTCAACTTAAGAAGATTGGTTCATTGTAGGGGCAAATCTACTGTAGCTGAAAAGAATTGGTGAGATTGAGAGGAACTCAGAAAAGGTCTTAAAAAGATACCTGCGAGCGAAGAGTTGACCGACTCTGTAGCGAAATAAATTATCATATAGTTATAATGCCAATGTGACTCAAGTGGTTCACTAATTGCCACTAAAATCCATGCTACCTTCCCATATTTTTTATTTATGATTTCATGTAGCCATTTTGACAAAATAGTTAGCATCATATTCTACATTTAATGTTTTCTTCTTTTCGATTATAATTGGCATTCCCTATCTTTATAAATGAATGTCTTAGAGAATTTGGGAAGGAAAGTCAGAATATCCAATATCGGAGCTGTAGCTGAGAGATTTTAGAGTTCAGGCTTAGAGAGGAGAGCTCCTGTTCTAGAGATACTCGTGGAACCAAAGAGCTAGAGAGAGGAAATTTGAGAAAGTGTTGTCTAACTTTTTTTGTTGTTGCCCAATTCCAACATTAATGAATTTTTTTTTATTTTTGGCTCCATAAATTAGAGTAAAATAATAACAATTGACTCGACCTGTTTTGGCGTCTTGCCATTGGAAATGAATAATGATTGCCAATTTATTCCTTATTATTCTAACTCATATATGCTACGGTTCAAATGCTTGGTTAATTTTATGCATGGAAATCATACTTTATCTTCATTTTGGACCCTAAATTTGTGAGACAAGGCTATTTATGAATATGTTGGTGGTGGAAATAATAAAGAATCATGTTTAGCTTTGATAAGCTGAATTCCTCATGAGCTTTACTACTAGAAAGGAACACATTAATTCTATCTATGATTTATGCTGCTATTTTACATAACTAACCTTGTTTGACTAATTTGAACCTTTATTTACTTTTATGAACGCTATTGATATTCATGTCCTCTAAATCATTGCAGGACTTCATGCAAGGCTCCCATGATAGCTTAATAACCCTGGAGGACAGAGTGCATGGGCTTGAGCGAGTTGTTGAAGAAATGGCGCGAGATTTGTCAATTTCATCTGGAAGGAGAGGAGGAAATATGATTATCGGCTTCGAGGGATCACCCGGAAGATCCAGTACTTCAAAGTTTGTCCGGCCAGAAAGGTATGCATCAACTGATGGCATGGCTTCTGTGTCAAGGGGAAGAGAATCAAGGAGGCCTGATTCTGTGATATGGAATTCATACACGCACACGGCTCCAAGAAATGGAGTATTAAGCAGTAGGAGAGGTCTTATGGCCTCTGGTGGCGATCAAGTCAGTAGCAGGAGGGTTTGGGACAAAGTTGAAGGACAACTTAGGCTTGGCGAAGGTCCTTCTGCAAGGAGCGTTTGGCAAGCCTCGAAGGACGAGGCTACCCTGGAAGCCATCCGAGTCGCTGGAGAAGATAATGCAACCTCTCGAGCCGGAACGCAACGGCCTACTCCCAGAGTGGCTATGGAAGATGGTAATTCCGTCCAGGAGGGGGACACATGGACTCGTGCAGTAGATTTGATTGATATTGGTGATGTAGATTCAGCATATGCCGAGGTGCTGTCCACAGGTGATGTTGTGCTCCTTGTGAAGCTGATGGAGAGATCTGGGCCTGTTATCAGTGAGCTCTCACATGAAGTAGCTTATGAAATACTGCATGCAGTGGGAGAGTTGCTGCTGGAACAAACCTTGTTTGATATAACATTTGCTTGGATTGAGAAGGTATACTGAAGTCCTTGAGACTCACTCATTAAGTTCAATGTTTTTTGCCTGAACTTATCATATTTGTGCCGTCCACTTGGGGTCTATTTGGGGCAGTTTCTTGCCTGTTTACATTTCAGACTGTCATCACAGTTATATCTAGGGAACTGTTTTCTAGAAATTTTTATAATGAAAATATATTTTTTACAACTGAATTTACAAAAAAATTGATAACTATAAGAAAGTTGTTGCCTGACTTTTCGGAAAAAAAAAATTTATTACTGCCACAAAAGCTTTGTAAGAAGTTAATTCCCCCATAACAGGTTCACAATCACATTTACAAAATGCTGAAGCCACCCTCCAATGAACCCTTAACCAAGTAGTTGAGTGGTTTGTCTCCAGTTATGTGATTTTGTGTTCAAGGCCTAATATTTTTGGGTGTGTGAGTTTTTTTATTTTTTTTTAAATTTACATATAATCCTATGGCTGATGTAACTTGTATTTTCCAGTTGATGAATCTGGTAGTGGAAAATGGAGGAGATTTTCTTAGCATTCCTGTGGGGGTTAAGAAACAAATTTTGAAGAACCTTCATGGAGTATCTACAATGGAGCTGGAGGAGGATGGTTATAGGGCTTCAGCAAAACATTTGTTAGTGCAGCTAGCTTCAGCTTGGGGTATCAACATTCAGCATTTTATGAAATAGTAAGTTATTTTATTTTATTATTTGTTTTTTTATGGGGGAGATTTACATATGTACCCCTCAATTCTTATGTATTTACGTATCTAATGCCTAAACTTCAATTTTACCATACATATCACCTTATCTAAGCTTGAAAAGATGTATTTTACTCTTTTTTTTTTTTTAGTTAAAATGATGGTATTTTTTATGTGATATTTTTTAAGTTAAAATGATGGTATATTTCGCGACATCATACATGATATTACATGTCATATGACATTATACCTTGTAACAGGTCAGCTCAGAAGCTGCAAAGGCACCGAAAATGACCACACCGGTGTATAGTGTCCATTTTTACATTTTTTTTTTCTTAATTACTAATGGTGAATTAAGGTTTCCTTTGTTTTTTGTGTGTATATGTGCATATTACATTGGGTTTGGGCAGAATCATTTGTTAAAAGCACAACTTAGTGCATGACTCTGATATTTTATGTGATGTCAACGATTTGAGTGGCATGCGTGTGAATATGAATATTTAGGCATCGTTTATGTAAATATAGAGGAATTGTGGGGTATGTATGTAAATGCCCCAATTTTTAATTGTTGAATGTTTATTTAACATAGAAGTTCCATTTCCTTTGATTATTTAAGCTTAAGTTTTAAGTTAATGCAGTGCTACTTTTCATTTAGAAATAATTTAATTGACCCATTTAGTCTCTCCAAACATCTTAATTAGACTAATTAAAACACGGTTTAGTGCCGCATGTTAAGCTTAATTACAACTTTTGGTTAAACTAAACTTGAAAGATTAATTCCTTCTGTGCCACTTTCAATGAATCCAAATATAATATTATGTTTATAATTTAAATTTTTGCAATGAAAGTGCTAACATTCCGAGATTTTCTTGCAATTTTCAATGTATATTTTTCACTAATCCAAGATAAAATTAAATTAGCAATATCTTATGCCTTGGCAAATGTTCTTTTAGCTCTTAATCAAAAAATTATTTAGGGTCTATTTGGGACAGTTGTAGCTTATTGAATAATGTGATGATAAGCTGATTAAAAATAATCTGCTGATAAGTTAGGTGTGGTGGCTATTATAAATTTTTATTTTTTTTGAAAAGCCAGACAACTATCAGAAAACTACCACCGCGCCTAGATAAGTGGTGTGAAAACGCTGCTTTCAGCTTTTTCAAAACGCATAAGCTGTCAAAATGCAGTTTACCCAAACAGGTCAGATGTGTTTTCAAAACGTCACAGCACCAAATAAGCTGCCCTAAACAGACTTTTAATCTCAATGCATATATTTAATGCATCAAGAGGCAATAATAACTTATTCAATCTTAAGATAGTGCAAAGGAGTACTCAATTTCTTAATTTTATTTTACCATAATTACATGAGCCATTGGATCATGGTCAAACCATTGACTTTGATGTCACTTATTGAGAAGTACAAACTAAAACAAGAAAGTTGGGTCATATACATTACTGATTAAATAATTTCAATATAAAATAATTAAATTTATGATGGGCTAATCATTTATTATTTAAGCCTCATTGCCTTCACATGACCTTGACAATAATTATGATTTTTATATTACTTATAACTTGTTTTATTTCTCTTTTCAACCCACCCATGTGACATGCGAAAGACCCAAGGCATAATTATATGCTTTATGTCTTCATATATAAGTATGTATGTATGTATATAGATGTATACTCACATGCGCACTAATGTGCCTGCATGCATGTATTGCTTGAACTACTATTTGATCTGTGGGATATGATTTCGAGCTAGTTGTCGGCTAAGTATAGGGCCGAAAAGCAGTATTTAAGTCTTGGGCTGCCCACCACCCACAAGAGCTCTTTTGGGAGGTGACAAGTGGTATCAAAGCAGATTACTGCCTGTCAGATGTGTGGACTCTCTATGGTCCAGTGGGACCATCGGTGGAGCCGATCCGTGACGAGGGTGTCACATGATTAGGTGGAGGAGAATGTCACGGACAAATAGTCCCACATCGGCTAAGTATAGGGCCGAAAAGCAGTATTTAAGTCTTGGGCTGCCCACCACCCACAAGAGCTCTTTTGGGAGGTGAAATAGTGCTGAGTCGAGATTTCAATCTGATATCGAGTCAAGAGTAAACTCGTTCATGATCGACTTATTAAAGCCTCTTGCTAAATCTCATTAAAATACGAATTGTAGTAAACCAATCGTATTATTTCATCATCATTTTTGTGAGAAAACATCTATATAAGACTTCTCATAAATGTACACTTAGAAAGAGCTGCATATTTAACTGATACAATTATTGAATGCGATATATTTTAAAAAATTAATAAAAATTGCATAATGAATGAAGAAAATTACATGCAACTTCAAATAGAAAATTTCAGTATGAAAAAGAAACAATTGACATTTCGGATATATCCAAAATGGAAAGATTTGTAACTTGACCCTACAAAAAGTTAATTGACATGATCTAACTTGATATATAAATATATATATATATATATATAGATAAGTGAAATATATATATATATATATATATATATTAAATGCTGGTACCCACTTCATTGCCCTCATGATGATCTAGCTACCACTACCACTTGTGCTCCACCCACTTTTTTTGGCTTTATTTTATAAATTATAATTTATATTCTCCAACTCCCACTCCCCCATTTAACATTTACTAACCTAAACAACTCATTAAATTTAAAAAATTTGAAAATACAGAGGATGGTTATAGG